TTCTTTTCATGCCAATTGAAACATCTGGGGGTAGTGTCTGCTGCTTTAACTGAGTTTTCTAATAATAAAAAAATGAATAAAATCTACCGTGAGTCAAAAGAATTTTCAACTGAAATGGCTTGTGACGCTTTATGGGGTACAGGACATAAGTTTGCGCCAACAGGGATGACATATTTTTCATCTCCGACAACATATCAATATGTACATCTAAATACTGGCATTCGCTACCATAGTGAAAAAAACAAACTCTGAACAAGCGGGTTCAGACTGGCTAGCGTTATTATTTTACGTAGAAGAAAGAAAACGTACCGCAATTCATAATTCAAGTGCTAGTGTTGTAATATCCCACTCTTCTTTAGGTGGTGAGGCAATACAATTTTTTGGGGGTACAATTACAAACGTTTTACCCTCCATCCATTCCGAGACAATTCGTTCCCATTTATACTCGACACTATTATCATATTTTGCCATATCGTGAAAAAACAAAAAACAGCTGAAAAATATTTTTATTTCTTTTCTTTTATACTTAAAACTATTTATCTAAAATATTATGACATAACCTAATATGGTCATTTACCCATTTTTACTTTCAATTTGTTCATGTTATCCTTAAATTCTTTAGAATTAAACACACCCTCTAATCTTCGATCCAAATGTTGCAGACTATCCATTTTTTTCATACTGATTAACTGAATTCACTCTATCTATGGAACAAAAAGCTTACACTATGTATGTGTAATTATTAGGGTTACAATCCCTTCCAAACTATTGCATGCATGCTGCATGCATGTAGTGCATGCATGCAAGCATGCATGAGGCATGCATGTGAGTATGCATGCTGCATGCATGCAAATTGGCACTTTTTGCCTGCAGTGCATGCATGTGCATGCATGCAGAGAGTGCATGCATTGTTTGCATGCATGCAGTACGAGTGCATGCATGCAATATGAATGCATGCATGCAATGATTGAGTGCATGCATGCAGCAGGCATGCAAATTGGCACTTTTTGCCTGCAGTGCATGCGAACTTATGCATGCAATTTTGCTGTCCTCACTGTGCATGCAAATGTAATGCATGCATGCTATTGTGCATGCAAACGTAATGCATGCATGTAAGAGTGCATGCATGCCTGCTGATATTAATAATTGCCAGGCTATTTGATTTGCATGCAATAATTATTGCAATAAGAAATTTAATTGCCTGACCGGACAAATGCTTCTGAAAATTGAATTTTATGCACAATTCAATTGTTTATTAGTCTGGTTGAATTGGAATGGATGTTATTGTTGTGTGTAGTTTAAACACGCAAATAATTGCAGTTGACTTTTTAGCAAAGTTTTAAAACTTACGATGTGTCTGAGTGCTGCAGCGACTCAGCATGCAAATCTCAGCAGCTCAGCCTGTCAGGCCAATATATTATCTTGCACTAAATTACCTCAGCTGATATCAATATAGTATAATTAACAAACAATTAGAGAATGTATATATATTATAAATTTTAAACAAGTATTTTACAATCGCTCGTCTTAAAATGCACATCTGGTAAAAACAATTTAACACATTGCTATAAATTTCAATATATTAATCAAACATCTTAACTTACTCCAAAAAGTTAAAAATTACACTCTCATGTTAAAATACATGCATGGTTTAAGAATGAAAAAGGAAACGTAATGTTTGGCGAACTATTTATATTATATGATTTTTCATTAATATTTCGAAAACAAGTGTAATTCCATATTAATGTTGTTTTAGTCAAATATTAACAAATACTCAATTGCAAGAAGCATAATGCATTGATGTATTCATTAGAGAACACTGTCAGCCGTACGCTTCTTTGCGGTCAATTTTAAGAGTAATCTTATGGAATTTATTATATTCATTTTGAAATCAATGGTGTTTCCTGCAATCTGAATCGCACTGCGATTTGTGCTGAAATCACACTCCTGCAGTGAACCAATCACATTAGAGTGCTGACTTCAGCCAACCAATCTTATTTAATCATAGAATTCAAACAGCCAATCAAATTTAACAAAAATATGATATGGCAAATGAGCAAAAATAAAAAATTTACATGTCATGAGTGATTTAAAGGCACAGTTAAGCCTGTTGAACGATGGTTTTTAAGGCGCATTTCAGCTCTTTTAATTGAAAAAGCTAAATAGGAAAATCAATTAAGCATAATTCAAGATCACCAAACTCAATGTTTTTAACATTTTAAAACATTTTTATTGGTAAAAACATCGAGTTTACTGATTTTGAATAATACTTAATTGATTTTCCTAGTTAGTTTTTTCAATTAAAAGGGCTGAAATGCGCCTTAAAAACCATCGTTCAAAAGGCTGAACTGTGCCTTTAAAATAATTTAAGCATTTTTTTGCACATAAAAACAAACTAATATGGACAGCTAAAGTAAACTGTCAAAGAATTGCAAATTTTCAAAATTCACAAATAGTAACAGGACTAAATTAAGAACATAATCATCTATCAAATATGGTCAAAACGCCAACAAAAGCAAATTTAAATCAGGGAAAAAAGGGTCAAAAGGTATTAATTCGCCTATCGTATTTCCAGTTTTAAATGCACAAAACTGACCAAAACTCTTCCAAATCACTCGTAAAACCTCCAATATCTTTAAACTTACTTGTGTTGTCTCTTATTCTTTATAAATGTCTTGATTTCTTTAACAATTTAGATTTTTGAACGTATAAAATATTATAACAAAACCTTATCTTGTTCGCTTTAATATTGTTGCTATGCTACAGCACTCAGGGAGATACCGGAGGTGTGTCTTTTGCAAGCAAAAACGTTTCCGGTTTACAAAAATGTTTTTAAGATTTCAAAATGAATATAATAAAGTGGAAATCGAACTTCGTGTGTGCAATTTTGGACTGAAATCAAACTTGTGATTACAAACTCCCACTTCGCGTTCGTGCGATTTTGTAATCACGCGTTTGATTTCAGTCCAAATTGCACTCCACTCAGTTCAATTACCATTATTAATTTTCAATGCAGAATTACCGCTGACTCGGACCACAGTTTATCAATTAGAATCGAATAAAATTGACTAATTGACATTATTAGTAACCTAAATGTTTGGTTGATTTAACTCAATTGTTCCTGGTTAATTTAACCACAGTTTTGGTTGATACATCGAGAAATCCTGATTAGATTAAACACGAAATTTAACAATTGGAACATTAAGTTACACCAAACAGTGTTAATTTTAGGTTAACCAAGACATTTTTAACCATGGTGTTAATCAGAGTGTACTAAATATAAAATATATGAATTATGCAAACTTTTATAAGTCAATGTTAGCAAGAAGATGATAACATGATTAAATAAATAAGACTGATTACTCACAAACATGGATTGTCACGTTTCCCATTGGGTCGTTCCAGAAAAGATCCATACCCCCCCCAACGGAGGTAGGTTCTGCCGTCCGGAGGGGAGAAAAAAATTGTTTCTGGTAATAGTAAATGTATTAGGATATCCGAAGGGGGTAGAGGGGGGGTTAACTTCCTATTTCCTCCGTGTGGGTGGTATGGATGTTTTCTGGAATGACCCAATCCAGTTTAAGTGCTAGTTGCAGCGGTTTCGCCATTCAATTGGTGTCTTCCAAGCCTTGTTTCAATCAATACCTGTCCAACTACACGATTGACTTGGAAGGCATTGAATGTTTTAGGATAAATATGGCGTAGAAAATCTATAAATGAAATAATTAAGGTATTAATAATTATGGTGGTGCATGGTTGTTTCAATATTGGTTCATTTACATTGTTCTCAGTCTACCCTTTTAAAAGATCCCCTTGTCAAATTTGAATTTACTAACCACAAATAAGCAGCATTCTTTCCGGGTCCAGTTTGTTTTTGCCCTTACCGCCTGTAAGGGTGGACTGTTTCCGTTCCTCCACGGTAAACATGGAAACCGCCAAAATCCGTGCAGCCTTTTTAAAATTTCCAGCTGCAGAAGCTTTTGATTTTAACTGGTGTGGGATGGCTGCTTGACTCTCCTGTGGCTGTGCAGGTGAACACGATGTGGATGAAGTGGATAAGGCATGTGATGGAGATGGTCGAGAAGATGGTGTTGATGGATGACGATATTGTGGTGATGCAGGTGAAACTGGTAGCGGTGTTGTAACATTTACAGGTGAAGGCGTTACCGTTAGGTTATTAGTTGCATATTGATTGCTTGGTTGTATCTGCCAATAAAAAGCAGGAAGAACATTACATAATGTCATATCGAAATGCCAAATAATAATAATTTATTCAAACAAAGTCCCAATATTGGAACATCGAATACATGGTCATGGGGTAAATAAATCATATACAATCCATAACAGTAAGTCGTGCAGTAACATAAATACTGACATATATAAATTATATATGACTCAGGTTGATAAATAATACATACACATCCATATACATACACGTACACGTAAGTAATCATACCAGGCAATCAAAAGTAGCTAAAACCGCGCGCCAGACGATGTAAGGTTTTGGCCGGGCTAGTTAAATTAAAAGTACTCACAGAAGAGGTGTCAGTGGTTGTGCAAGCTGCAGAATCTGGCCCTTGTTTCGCTTCAATTCTGCTTACAACTGTAATATACAAAAATATGTTTAACACAAAGGCAAAGTTCATATTTATAATTTACACCTATTTAATACGCACTTTTTTCCTAGAAATTGAACTTCGTTACAGTACTTAAGTTAAAATATAAAACTCCTTAATAAGACAATAATAAAGATCAGTAAGATTTTTAACGGAGTACGTGCACTGATAAAGCGGGCTACAGACGAGCAAGTTTTCTAGACTATTGTTTTTATGTGACAAGTTTTATTTGCTCGTCTGTACGCGCAACTTTGGCATTTTTTTCTATGCATGACAAGTGGACTTGTTCAAAAGCTAGCATGCTAGCTAACTTGTCATATAAAATTTGTTGCATATACACACGTGCACTTGGGTTTGGCAAATAAAACTTGTCACATAAAAACTTGTCATAACATACAGGGTGTATCAAAATAAACGCAATTCATCTTTTGTGCTTAATAACTTTCGAAATACTATTTCTAGTTAAACGCTTGTAGGCTTACTTCAAAGCCTGTTCTTTTCTCTTTCAAACAAACTATTATCCTTGTCTCCAATGCTAGTAATAATTGCACAGGAAAAGATTTAGTAAAACCTATCATTTTTAGTTGCTGTTTAATTATGCAAGTTTACTATGTTATTGTTTAGTGGGTTTAAATGTTAGAATTTTCTTCTTTAAACTTTAATGTTGTCGTCACTACATCTGGAAAACCATGTAAGAACAAATTAAAAGTATTTTAAAAGAGACCAGGTTGTTTGAAAATCCTAAACGAATGCTAAAAATCGTCAAAACATTCTGGTGTCTGAGCCAGAGTGTCATCGAATTGCGATGTAATGTAAACAGAAATTATAGCAAGTTGATGTCAGTCAGCTTAGATGGTTCAAGCCAAAATTATATCGCATTTGAAGTTTCAAACTGAGTTAAAAATAGTGGAAGAAAAGCCGTAATTATACTTATTGTTACAATCCATTTAATAAAATGCAACATTTGTTTGTTTTAATGAAAAAATCAGTTATTTTCATGAGAACGATTTGTTATTCCATCTCAATTTTTTTAATCTCCAATCGCAATAACGTAAAGTATTATTACCCGCGAACCAATGAGTCAAATTTATGAAACAACCCACTGTTAGAAAGCTGAATGGCTACGCTTTAAAATGAATGTTAACTTTTTCTGTTAATGTTAACAATGAACTTTAACGTTTTCGTCTATTATTTGTTTAGCAATTTACATTTCAGTCGAGGATTGCGCTTTTTTTGATACACCCTGTATAGTCATAGTCATAGAAAACATGCTCGTCTGTAACCGGCTTATTACTGACACTGTCACTGATAATACTGACATAACATTGGTCAATTTAGTACATTTATTATACTACCTCTACGCAACAGCTTTATGTGCTGTTGGATTCTTTTAATTGCATCGCAATTGACTTGGCACATCTAGGGAATAGGAAAAACCACTTGTTACGTACATGTTTTGTGTATTTGAGACTATAGGTGTATAGCCCGTTTACACTACTGCTCAATTTTTGGTACGGTACGGATAAAATTGGTACTCGTTGTCGTACCACTTTTTGGTTCTTGGACCACGTATTTAAGCGAAAAAGTGGTACGGTACTAAAAATCGAGCGCAGTATGTCTATAGAATATGTACAGAATACAGCATATTAACTTTTTTACATGTCTCTCGTGCATTTAATTGCCCGAATTGGCAATTACCCATGCCATGGCCACAGTGCCATGCCCATGGCCTATGGCATTGTCCGAGGCATTGTCATTTATTTTAGGCATCGGCACAGTGTCTGTCTGTCGGAAAAGTTAAAGTGCGTCCGGCAGTAATTTTTCGCTTTGAGTTTTACACACACTATCATTTTTTTATAATATGGTGTTTTTGGGTCAAATGTTTCAGTTGAAAGTCCCCGGCTTCGTTTTATTGCTCGGTTTATTGTAAATTTTAAAAATGCATAAATAAATCATTTCGAAATAATTTTTCAAACTACGAAATTACAAAAGTGCTTAAAATATTAGTGTAAAACAGTAATTAAGACTTGCAAAGAGCATCAAAACGAGGCTAGGGCCTAGGCACATATATTTCATTGCAAGAACTAACCGAACTTTTGCATGTTTTTGAACTTTTAAAATTTGATTTCTCAAAGCAAACAGAGTCGGGGATATTGTATTTCAAAAATTATGATTTATATATTAATTTTAGAAAAATATTTTATATTAAAAATATTTTCGACAGTGTCGACACTCGACAGTGACTACCTGGATGGGCATCAGGACACAGGCACAGGGAAGTTGCAAGTTTATCTATTGAATACTGTTCTAGTTCAACAGTTTTAATAACAATATGATATTAAAGCCGAGTACCATGTCGCAAAAATTAGCAGAGTTTGGCTTCCCTGCCCCTGTCCCTGGGCGACTTCAATTTTATTTCTTTATGAATTATGATTATTTACTCCGGCAAACCTAATCATGGCACAGCTATAAAACAAAACTGAAACGAAAACCATTGTCATTGACATCAGGCTTATTTATAATACTGAATTAAAGTATGAAAATATATTAGTATGTAAACTCAATCATAACTCATAAATACGTAAGTATAACTATAAGGCATCTTAAGCCTTAAATAATTAGGCTTGGCTTACAACATATGTACATGGCCGTCCGCTAGGCATGGACATAGGATTCACAGAGCTAAATTGGTTAAAAAATAATTGACCAGGCCTACAACTGAAACAGTGCTGCGCCACAGCGACACAAAGCATATGCCGGCATAAGTGGGGGAAAAGGCATAAATTATTTAAAAATTATAGATAGATTAAAACAAGAAAAGTAAAATGCCGGGCGGTAGGGTCGATTTCTTTTTACCAGTGGCAGCGCCACGTATCCACCCACAGCCACAGCGGCCGATATCAACACTGATTCAACAGAAGTGGGAAAAGAAACATTAAAATTATTTAAAAACAAAAACTCTATATGCAAGATTCAGTAATCAGTAGGGACATATAGATTGTAGTCTAAAAAGGTACCGGCTGAGACGTGGCCTTTTACAATTGGCAGTAGCAGCGCCACCGTACAAGTTGCCCCGAGGCTGATGCCGACACAGATGGAAAAAGGCATAAATTTAAAAAATATATAGTATACAGCATATGTTTTAGTGTACTATTTTTATTATATTATAATTTTTACCTGCAAAAGCAGCAATTCTACCTTTATACCGCTTTCCCTGGCAAAGTGCAGAAACAATTTCCCCCGGACAAAATGCGATGGATGTCATCGGCAGTTCATCAGCAGGAAATATGTCCTTGCATAGAACTGGGTCGTATGTATCTTCCCCATCCCATTCTATAATGCACCAACCTAAATTAAATGTATAGCAGAACATTTATTAAATTCAAAATAATAATACAGTAGTCTTTCAATAATCAATAGAGCAGATGTTAATTTTTGTCACCTTTTTTTGCCTTCTTTTCGTCTCTATCCTCTTCCATGTTAGTGTCGTAAATGTCCGCAAGAGAACTCGGAATTTTTCTCTTTCTCTTACTTTTGGCCTTTATAGGCGTTGTGGCAGGTTCATCGCTTAATTCCATCAATTCTAAATCATCGCTTGAATCTGAAAAACTCATTCTCGAAACTCATTCAAACTCATTTGTTTTCGCGCAAATGCAAATAGTATGAAAACAGCTAAGCTACCAACGGTAACGAGAAAAGTGTCAGGTTTATGAAAGAAGGATAAAGTATAGGGCGCTTTCAAAAAACAATGCGTTGTGATTGGTCGCTCGAGGTAAAATATCGCGCGCTTTCAAAAACATTGCGTTGTGATTGGTCACTCGACTCCTGACGTATGAAACGTATGATAAAACTTACTTGTATATTTTTCTCTGGCCTGAAGTGATAAAATTGCTATACGATATCGTCATTCGTCAGTGTAGTTGAAGCGAATTATGCCTCCCAAACGTGCCCGTTATCTGGAATGGCAATGAGACCCTACTGTCCCAATTCCGAAGCGAACACTTGCGCCGATGGCAATCTTATAGTAGCGCAAGCTGATAGTGATAGTGATAGTGATAGAGTCGGATTCATGTGCTCGCGAGGAAGACACCAACAGTTCCAATAGTAGTGATGGTTCTCAAGCAATACCAACTGCAATATTCGATGAAGAGTTAGCTGAACAGGCAGATTTGGAAACGAATGAGTACTCAGACAGTGAATTTGTTTGTGAATCGGAAAGCGAGTCTTCTGACTCGGCATCGGATAGAGCCCGACGTATGTAGCAACAACGATGTGATTTATCCCGGCGCCTCGATCACAGTTGAAGATAGTATTTTAAGCAACATGAAATACGCAATTCGGCACAAAACGACATATTCTGCGTTAAGTGATCTGTTAGGTTTAGTCGCGCTTCACCTACCAAATAACAGCAAAAAAGACCACCTGAAGTCATTGTATTTTTTGAAAAAAGCATTTTCTTCAAAACTGCACAAAGATGAGATGGTTACGGTAAATGAATATTGTCCAGATTGTTCAAGTCCGTTTGATGATGACACGAAAAACGCCTGCGAGTGTTGCGGGAGAGCCAAAAGCAAACAGGACAAAAATTACTTTTTAACGTTGGATATTGGAGAACAAATACAGAACATGTTTGCAGGTAAGCTTTTATTGTGAACTCTAGATGTAATTTATTTCTGTTTCATGCTATTAATTGTGCCACGGGATTGTGCATAAGCACAATATAACTTTTCACTGATTGGCAGTGGACCTATTCTTTGCACTGGACTGACTAAGTGAGGGCAGGAATTTAATTAATCTAGGGGACTGAGGCAGGTTTTATTTTAAGTTTTTATATAAAATGGCGATTAGAACATTGATATTTTATCAAATATTTTATAAACTTTCACAAGCATTTTAAAACTGAATACGAAAAACAGAAAAATCATATAAAGAAAGGATACAAAGTCAAAAAAAAGTTCCTTGGAGGAGTATCCTTTAATCATAGACATAGACCTTTTAGTTTTATATATATACATATATATATAGAAATAGTTCAAAACATACCGATAACCGATTGTGAAATCAAATTAAATAATTTTTTTAGTTTAATTAACATAGCTTAAGATTGATAGAAATGGATTCAAGTACCATTTTATGTGCTGATCAGTTCATATTTAAGGCAGATAATATAATTAATTTATAATTAAGTCAGCCTCAGGCCCTGCACATGCCTGAAACCTGGCGAATTGCTTTAAAATAATATAATTTTTCTCAACACATTCAGTCATGAGGGAATGAGGATTTAAAGTTTTTAAAATAAATTAATTAACTTAGAATTTAAACATACACAGGTCTAATTTATAATTATAATATCAATTAAGTTGTGGGTTTCGGTGAACAACTGAACATGGTTTATGTATTATTGTATGTATTAAAGTATTTTAGTATAATTACATAGGTGATTATTGAAAATTCTCCACGCTGATTGGTTACCGTTGAGGTGATTATTACGCGATAATCACCTAAGCGATTTTAAAAATGGCGGCCGAAGCCATTTTGTCAATTAAAAGACGAAGAAATGTGCATTTTTTTATTCCAAATAATCGCCTATGAAATTATACTAAAACAATTATTCACCTCAGGCTCGGTGATTATCGTGAATAAAAACCTCGACTTCGTCTCGGTTTTTATTCACCGATAATCACCTCGCCTTCGGTGAATAATTGTTAAATATTCTTTTTACTGTTCTGAAAATGCACACAAGGCCATCACATTTAATATCCACACGCCCCTGTGGACTAATTCACTCACAGATTTTAGACTTCTTCAGAAACAGTGATACCAAAGCCTTTAGGAAATTCTCTATAACACCTTCAGAAATTCTTCTTATCCCTCCTGGAATCTTGCCATTTTCCCCCTTGATTCCTTTCGAAACTACATGAACCATTATTCGGTCATTCCTGCAAAGATCCACACTCCCCCCACAGAGAAAATTTCTGCCGTCTGGAGAGGGAGGGGAGACAAAATTGTTTCTGATAACAGTAAATGTATTAGGATATCCAAAGGGGGTAGGGGGGTTAACTTCCAATATCCTCCTGTGGGGGTGGTATGGATGTTTTCTGGAATGAACCATTGACCCCATACAGTATTACGTCTAAAGAAATTTTCAGTAATTTTGTTACAACCACCTCGGATATTGCGATTTTCAAGATCCCTTTGAGAAACGTGGATTTTTTTACTCCCTTGGAAAATTTTGTCCACATGCAGAGGAGTGTAATAATTAGCTATTAAATGGAATGGCCCACATAATAATATACTTTTGGCCCTACTGTGAGTACATATAAAGTAATTTCTTCTAAATTATTAACCATAATTAATAATATATTATGATACTGTATTATAATTATTAATTTAAAACCTGTAAACCTTCTTTCTTAATAGAGAGTGACTTTGTCAAGGAAATTGAATATGGTTTTGAAGAAAGAGAACGTGTTCAGCAGCAGTTGAATTCAGATCCAGCAACAGAGAGAGAATGGCATGATATTATGGATGGTGACCTCTACAGAAACCTGCTTAAACCATTTGGATTCCTTGACAAGAGACACAACCTTTCGATTATGTTTAATACTGATGGAGTTCATGTCTTCAAGGCTTCGCGTGATGAAATATGGCCATCATTGGTAGTAATCAATGAACTTCATCCATCTGTTAGGTAATTTACCCATTACTGTACTTATACAAACTGTCAAGCACAAGTATTTATTTTACAAATAATCCATCCTAGTACTTATAGCGACTTAATCAGTTACGGTATACTTTCTAGCATATGAAGGGTCTAATTGCTCAACACATTGAAGTTTCATGTTTATTTTTAGTTTTGTATGTCCTACAGGCAATATTGTACAATGTCAGTTGTTACATTTCTTGGCCCAAGGAGATACTAATTGACCTGCAGGATTTAATTTAACCTTACGATAAAGGTGAAAATGGGTGGAGTCCGAGAAGTGCTGGCGAAAAAAGGCCTGAGGAAAAACTAGTCTAAACAATGTGCTGCTCACTTAGCTAATTGTTATTTTTAAACTTAACATTTGTAGGCTATCAATAACTATATGATAAACACTAGGAATTGACAAATTGACCTTGTTAATTTTGTCACTTTGGCCAATATATTCAGCAACCAATCAAAAGAATTGCCACTAAAATATGATAGCCAATCATAGCAGTCCGGCCGAAATCTGGATGGTCACCACAAAATGCCACATTGTTTAGACTAGTTTTTCCTCGATCAGGCCTTTATTTTCTCACCTTTTTTCCGCATGTCTCTCCTCTGCCCAATTTTCACCTTTTAGTGTTATTAAGGTTGAAAACAATAAAGGCTTCAGACATTAAGGTTTAAATTAAGTTCTAATCTAATTTGCCAATCACATTTAATCCATTCCATGCTAATAAGTTATAATTGAAACCTTGAAATTTAGATGCTCATTGCAAACATTTGAACTAGCTTTCTCAATAAATTAACATTAAATTTATCTGTAATTTACCCTTATAAATGTAAACAATAGTTTAATCTCCTCTGGCCAAGAAATTTGTTTAACCCATTGAGTTGTTAGGCACATGCATTAATTCTCCCGCTGACAAATAAAATCATCTGGCTTTAGACAGCGCTAGAGTAAAATAATCTGGTGTTAGACAGTCAGTATAAAGTAGGGTGCACCAGTTGTCACATGTTTCCACTTAGAGTGTTAATTTAAAGAACACTGATAACTGACAAAATGTATTAGTTCAGTAATTCAAATGTAATAATATAATGTATTTTTATGCAATTCACAGGCTTAGCACCAAGAGGATGGTACTTGCAGGTATTTGGTTTGGACCAAAAAAAACCTCAATGCCAACTTTTCTACAATCCGGGCCAAAACTCATATGGACACTTAATCCACTTTTGCAAAAATCATAACAAACACCTAAAACTTGAATTTACTTGCACATCCCCCACTCCCCCTCTTCAATGTTGCATATCCGACTTAGCCACACTTCGTATTTGATGAAAAATCCCATTCAACATTGGCTTGGGGGAGCGGGGGGATAATTATTTAGAAAAACACCATTTGAGGCCAAATTCTGTGGGTTGTCCACAACGTTTTGTCCAGGATTGTCTGAAAAATGATGGGCATGGAGAAGCGCTGTTTTATCACTTGTTATTTAACATTTGACATGTCTGATGAGACTATAACGCATACCTATGTATTCTACGTTTTTGTTATACAGTTTGATCGCTAATGACGTCACTATTAGCAATTACGTCACTTCCGGATGTTGTAAATATAAGCTAATTTGTGGGAAGCGTGCGTAAAACCAACTATACTGAATAGGTGCGAGCATAACTTTTTCTCAATCTTATACATGAAAGGTACACCGACTTTACTGTTCAGATACATAGCCAAGGAGCGCATTTAGGCTTTAACAGGAGAGAAATTGACAGTACAGAAAATTTTCAGTGTCATATTTACGGAGATTCAGTACGATTCCAGAACGTCTCAAGACTCAAGCTATGTAGCAATTACCTTATTCCATGGAATAAATTATTGTATTTTTGCATATTTACTGATTTTAACGACCCTTGTAGTTTTGAACAGCCTATATTTTTATACACAGCCCTAATATATTACTCGCCAATGACAAGAACCATGCAATATGAAACTGGAAAAGCTTCAGTACTCAAAATGAAATATATCATGTTAACCTTTTTCGCCATTTGAAAGGCAATATAATTTGACATTGAGGATTCTTAATATTTCCAAAGATAAGTGTCTATCATAAACTTGTATGCGAACTCGATCCAACTACAGCCATTAAATACATACAATACTTGTAAATATTATATTACAATTGGCGTTTGTCAAATAATGAAATATTGCCTTACACTTTTCAATACTGTGCGCCGACTAGCACGCCAGCACGGTCTACAGTAACTTCGGACTTGAATTATACACAATTGCTGCATTGAAATGTAACGATTTCTTCTTTGGGAACTACCTATACATATTATACTTGTTTTTAAAATGTTTTCGTAATTTACACAGTAGAGAAATAAAAAGTTACCACGGTCTACATATTAAAAGTAGCTCTTTGAATATAATAGATCATAGCTCATTAGTATTCATGAAAATACGATTTTTGTGTGTAGACCGTGGCGATTTTTAAGGCATAGCTGATTTTATATGTTTTGCTGCATACTGGTGCAAAACGTAATTGGACAAGCCTTTTAATCTATATTTTAATCGATTGCGCACTTATATACTTCTAAAATCACTCCAAAAAAAGGTGTAGACCGTGTTTCGAGCGTTGAATATTATGTTACACATTACGTCACTCGATCGGAAAGTATAACATATCAACTTAACAATTATAGCAAAGCCCTGTAACTTAATATATAATTCAGATGTTTAGTTCCTGCCTTAAATCATGTATAGTTTTCTGTCAAGCATTGTATTCAGCAAGTTTCAGATGCACCTTGAAATTGCACTGTCAGAAGGAAGCTGTAATATATGGTTAAAACAGACAAACGTACTAGCATATATCGTAGGCAGCAAGACTTGCAGTTAACGAATTATAATACTTGTATGAAAGTTGCCATTTAGTTGTATAAATTTGATTCTCAAGCACTTCAAGAATGCATAAACAAACTTGGAACTATATATATTCCTGTCATTCTCGTCACATAATTATTCCTAAAAATTAGGCTCGTGGGCGCATTTTTTGGTTAGGAAATCTGTTCCTTACCGGATAATTTTTTTTCAAAAGATGAACAGAAATGGATTATTTAGATGCAAACAAGCGCAATTTTACTTACAAAGCATATTTTTTTCCGTTTGGTGTCATATTAGATACAAAAACCGTCTATTATTTTCTATAGTGATTTTCAGACAATCCGGGCCAAAACTCATGTGGACACTTAATCCACTTTTGCAAAAATCATAACAAACACCTAAAACTTGAATTTACTTGCACATCTCCCACTCCCCCTCTTCAATGTTGCATATCCGACTTAGCCACACTTCGTATTTGATGAAAAATCCCATTCAACATTGGCTTGGGGGAGCGGGGGGATAATTATTTAGAAAAACACCATTTGAGGCCAAATTCTGTGGGTTGTCCACAAACAACGTTTTGTCCAGGATTGTAGCTCCATTCCGATCCCAAGTTAATAATCTTAAACTGAATGGTAAGTAATGTATGTTATTACCTGTATATTAATGCTGTGTGGGCTCAGCTGAGAGGGGGAGGTGGCAGCAGGGGTCATTTTCTCCTGGGCCCTCAACTCAACACTCTTTACCCTGACGATTAGTCTGAAAGCTTGATCAATTATATTCTTTTTTATTCTTTATAATTTGACTTTTAATTAATAACGAAGTTTAATAAACCAATATTTTCTACTTTATTACTGTAATTACCTCCGACGACAAGCCCCCCTCTCCGCGAATATAAGCTAGCCCACCCGAATATTAAGCCCCCCCCCCCAAATATACAGTAAGCCCCCCAAATATAAGCCCAGTAGCCCAATACGTTATTCAACATTGACATTGTCTTTTAAAGCAGAGAACGATATTTAAAAACATTGTCATTGTCTTGATAGCCAAGGTCTATGTGAATCAAAGCGTATTATTATTAAATAACACATGTTTATTTTCCTGTTTATGACTAACTTGTTTATGCATGTCCAACTTGTTTATTACTAACACAAAAAATCATCCATGCATTATTCCCCCCCCCCCCGTATATAAGCCCCCCTTATACTCAGGGGGAAACTGTATTTGGTGTTTAATTAATACATTTTACTTGTAGGTGTACCTGTGTCTTCAAATGGTGAAAGCTTTGTATGCCGTTTAGTTTGCTTGTTGGGAACTGCAGATTTACCAGGCAAATCCGCATTGCAAGGTTTTTCGCAATTTAATGGAAAGAATGGTTGTTCGTTCTGTGAATGTGAGGGTGAAGTAGTAGCTGTTGGTCGTGGGCATAGTCGAACTTACCCATATGTTCCAGGTCTAAACAACTTGCGTACAAAAGAAACAACACTTCAGGACGGAGAACAAGCTCAGCAACTAGGTTCTCCAGTAAGTATAGTTTGAAAAAGGAAATTCTCTCTTTATTTCCTTTTACAAGGCTAATTATGCACATTTCCTGCAGGTTATTGCTTGTACGGCTGTAGCCAAATTATTTCAATCAACTGACACTACTAATTATCACTTCAGTACTAGGAATGAAAGAAGAATAGAACCAATTACAGTATTAGGCCCCAGTGGGCCGAATACTGTAATTGGTTCTTAATTCTTCTTTCATTCCTTAGGAACTGAAGTGATGAAATCAACCTGGAATGAAAATTGAAATTGTCAACATGTTTACACGAGATTGGTACGAAAATCACAAAATTTTCAATTTATTCCCCTTGCCAGGCAATTTTCTTTTTTAGATGGCTTAATTTGTTAACATGTGTTGTTCCAATGTTAAGGTTTAACAGCCGAGACTGGTCTGAAATGTATTTGTATTTACATTCAATATTCCAGTATGAATTCATGCTGGTCTGAAGTTAACCTTCGAACAGGTTCCCTTTGCAGGCTAATCTGATGTCAGTCAGGCGTCGGCTCAGTCCAGGAGGCATTCCGACTTGAGATCCGATGAGTTATTTTCGTCCCAGTCTCATGTAAACATCTATTATAAATAATACTATGACGAGTTTTGACTTTGTTCCGGTCTCATGCAAACAGGGCCCTACTCCTATTCTATTGGACTTAAGTGTCGGCCCATTGAGCACTAGCTAGCATTCTCCCCTCGACGAGCAAAATCGTCTGATGTTGGACAAAGTAAAATATAAAAATTAAGTGGGGCACATCATTACATTGATTTTAAATTGTTCTTTAACTCAATACGGTGAAGAAATTGAATTGATTTTACTATTTCCTGGCTTGTTTTACAAATTATTACATATTATACATAGTCGTACAGTCTATATGGCTGAAAAATCAACCAAAATGGCGTCGATAGCAATTAACTACTGATACTGAGTATTGTACTTTTTTCCATGTAGGTTTGCGGAGTCAAAATGGTGTCACAACTATGTTTAGTTGAAGGTTTTGACATCATCCGTGGTATGCCGGTCGATTACATGCATGGTGTATTGCTGGGAGTGGTCAAGAAGCTATTCTCCTTTTGGTTTGAACGAAAACACAAAAATGAAAAGTACTATATAGGTACTGTAAATAATCTAATTACTGTACTGGGTGTTAATTAATTATCAGCCATCGTACAGCAGTGGAACAGTTGATTCCTAGTCGAAAGAAATTTTGCAAATTTGGTCATTTTGCCGAAGGACATTAATAGCAGAATGGACAATTTAATGAATAGACTTTTCCCAGAACAGGCATCTAGTCTTTGAAGTGACAACTTGCTGGATGTTATTTTCACAAAATAATTCTTCCACATTGTTTTCCATTAACCCATTGAGTGCCACCGCTGTCCCCTTGATGAGTAAAATAGTAGGGGGCATTTTTGCGAAGTGGGCTGTAACCGTACAATGCAACTTTATAAAATTTGGTTAAGTTTGTTAACTCAGTTCTCAGCTCCCAGAGAAGAAATCAACTCTTTCTGACCTGAATTCACATGTCCACCGGACATTAGCAACAATTTTCCACATGGATAATGTGTGGGTGTAGTGAATGACCCATTTGGCTAAATGTCCATTCTGCAAAATGTCTAGGTACCTGTGAAAACTCTTCCAATGTACTGACCATAATTTAGATTGCGAGCGGTCCCTCCTTTCCATGGGTTTGACTTCACGGGCGTGCGAGACTGCCGACAACACATCAAGAAACGAAGTAATCCCCCTTGTGTGGGCAACGCATGTTTCTGCGGCACTGCTCGCGGTCTAATCATAATTGTATGTGCATATATAGGGTAAATAACTAGCAACTCTTTACTCATAGTGCAGTAATATACTAATATTTAACAATTATTCGCCGAAGGCGAGGTGATTATCGGGGAATATTCACCGAGACGAAGTCGAGGTGAATATTTCCCGATAATCACCGAGCCTGACGCGAATAATTGTTTTAGTATTTTTGTGTTTTTTGGCACTGAATTTATCTTAATTTCGCTTATTTCTTTATCAGTATAACGTCCACAAAACGGCTTGGCCGCCATTTTGAAAATTTCGATTTTGTTATATTCACCTGTAGGTGAATATAACAGCTTAATACGTCAAATTTGACCAATCAGCTTGTAGGATTTGTTATGTTCACTTGTGCAAAAATACTAATAGTACTTATTATACACTCACGCGCACCTAACCAATCAGTAATCGTTGAGAGGGTCACGTGCCGATCCAATATTTTACAATATTGGACAGGAACCTATTGGACTTTTGAGAATCGTGACTTTTTTTATGGTTTTTCAACCCTTTTCAGATGTTTTGTTTGAAACAGCCTCGAGCTTTAATAGTAATTTTTTTTCGTTAAAATTGGGTCAAACTTCCTTTAAACATGCATGGAATTGAGATTATTTATATACACACATACTTGTAAAAACAAGTTTATTAACTTTTTGTTTAGTTATTTAAAAATTTGCCACTGATATATGTAACAGTGTTGTCGTTGACGTTGTATTTAATATTCTGGCTGTATTATTTTATCGCTTATTGACATTTTTTTGTTATAGAATTGTTTTGTTCTATATAATAAAACTCTTATTGGATTCATCTTCGTCCAATATGGCGAAATATTAAGTCTCGACATCAATATTAGGCTCGACCTTTGGTCTCGTCCAATATTGAAATCTCGACTTGATATTTTGCCATATTGGGCTCAGAAGAATCCAATAAGATATAATATGTAAATTAATTGTATACAGCACTCTGATCATGACAATTTTTTTTAGGAAATGACATGCCAACTTTGGATACACGCCTGGCAAACTGTAAGCCACCAGACTTTATATCCAGATTACCGAGAAGCCTAGTAAAAGACCGAAAATATTGGAAAGGTTTGTTCATTTATTAATGTATATAATGACGTTATTCTGAAAGACAGACAACACTTATGAGCAATGAAAAACAAGGCATAGTGCCTTGTTTTTCATTGCTTAATACTATGAATGTTGAATGGGTACTGTAAGTGTAATTTTTTTTGTTAATCAATTTTAAAATTTTTCTATTGTAGCATCTGAACTTCGTGCATGGCTGTTGTATTACTCCCTTCCTGTGCTTAAAGGAATTCTGCCAGATGATTACTACTGCCATATAAGATCAAATTAATGCAAGAAAATGAACAGTAACTGAAGTACCACAGACGTTTTAGACGTCGCCGTTGCTGTTTTACAACGGCGCCGTTGCTGTTTTACAACGGCGAAATACAGATTATCACGTCTTGTGTACAACGCATACATTTCAAGCGTCTGCACCGCAGGCTATCAAACCCTGTGTTAACATTGCTCTTTAAACTGTATTATTTTTCATACGATTATAATTCTCTCAACGACGTCATGACCGGTAACTTTGCAAACCTAAGTATATATCCATGAAGATAAAGATTTATGCATGATTAAAAAGGTTAATTTATAATTTATTTGTAGGTAAAAGTGCAGCTACTATTAATGTCCACAATACGTGCAAGCACATTACGTCTAGTGTTGTACAAGCAGGACCATTATGGGTTTTTTCGTGTTTTGGTACGGAGGGGTGGAATGGGACAATGAGGAGCCTGATCCATGGGACTCATCATGTTGCAATTCAGGTAATTTGTAAAACTGGCAAATTTACATGACTTGATTGTACAAAATTAGCTTGGCCACGGTGGGAATCGAACCCGCGACCTTTGGGATACTATTTCCATGCTTTGCCAACTGTACGTGGTCAAGTCGGTTCGAAAAACTAGTTTCATATTAATCTGACACTGCAATCGAGCAACGAAAAATTCATTGACTCGAGCGGGATTTGAACTCGCATCTTCGGGTATCTAGACCGCCGCTTTACCTATTGAGCTATCGAGTCAACGAAAATTTTTTCGCAACATTTTTTCGTATCTCTGAGGATAAGATAGAGGTTAAGTTGTGACGAAAATATTTCGTGCACTTAAATTGGATAAGACTCGATACCAATCCCTGTTGACTCGATAGCTCAATAGGTAGAGCGGCGGTCTTACGGGTCTAGATACCCGAAGATGGGAGTTCAAATCCCGCTCGAACCAACGAATTTTTCGTTGGTCGATTGCAGTGTCAGATTAATATGAAACTAGTTTTTCGTATCTCTGATGATGGTTCTGAAAGTCGGTTCGAGTTGATCATATTTCGGAACTGAGTCTAGTTCCTTTGATATCAGTGTATTCTATGATACGATTATTTTGTGTGTGTTGGTGTTATGTACTCATGCAGGTGTAATATATGATGTTTGTGATGTTACTTTGAGTGTGCACCCGCACCGGGCAAGCTGAAGAGTTTGCTTGGCCACGTTGGGAATTGAACCAGCTTGCCCCGTGCGGATGCACACTGAGAGTAACATCACAAACATTACATGTACAAAGGTGAATAAAGTTTTTATCGGCTAACCAATTGTAGTTATTAAATTATAACATGGTTTCCTTTATGTTTTTGACTTTGTTCATGACAATTAGGGTAATTATTTCTTTTGTACAGCGCATTACACCCTGATGCACCCTACTTTATTATTTTACTCTGTCTAACGCCAATCGATTTTACTTTTCGAGGTATAATTTTTATCGGCTAAAGTTGTGTTAGAAGTATAATAAAATTATATTTTTACATGTAAAATAAGGACAAGAAGTAAATACATTATTTTACAATAAAAAATGTAACAGTTTATCTTTAACAGAGCATCGTTTTCAATTGTTTTATTAGGTTGTTGCTGCTGTTAAAGCTTTAAGGATGATATCGATCCAGGAGCAGAATTTAAAAGAAACCACATCAGACGCGACAGTTTCTTATGTTCAGCAGCTCAATGGACGGAAGAGGTACTGCTCGCAGATATTTCAAAAGCAGTTTGTTGAAATTATTGTATGTAATGCAATGATATTTGAACGTACAGTAGCCTGCAATTATCGTTAATTTGAATTTGAAAGGATATACTTTATACACACTGTATATTGGTTAATGTAACACTGTATATTCATGTCATTCACATAATAGTCGTACAATCAGCATATTATACACTGGTGAGTTTGTAGTTAGTACTTGTATTGTATGATTGTCAAATACAAAACATAACATGTCACAAAGATCGTCTCCCAAGTTCATCTCTTTCCTCAACTTTGCAGAAATGTTGTTAAGTTATTCCCTGGTTGTTACTCCGTTGGCTCTGTGGTAAAAGCTGATCTTAGTGAAGAGCAATTGGCTGCATTAAATCACCTCCTTCCTGGTGCAGCAGTCAATGTAGCTGATTCCTGGTCGTTTAACAGGATTATATATGGTGAACAGATCTTCTATAGCCAGAACCACAGTAGAGTGAAGAAACACAATAGCTATACCGTTGTCTATACAGCTCCAGATAGAAAAGAAGCTTATGGGTTTATCATATACTTTCTTAAAGTTATTTTGGCAAACCAGGAGGAGCAACCCTATTATCTGGCTGCTATTAAGAACTTGCAGCTGTACGAAGAAGAGGAAATATTAGCAGATATTACAATATCCACAAACAATCATGAACTTGGTGGACACTTGAAACCTTGCAAATATGACAGGTAAATATATATTTGTCAAAACCATTGAGGAGACAAGGGAAAGAAATTTTCTAATGTGAATGCATCTACATTCAAATACGACCTCTTCTCCTCCCAGTTCAATGTTGCCCACAATCCACCCCAAAATGATTTTCTGTGATTCACAAACATTGACTGGGGCGGGGGGGGGGGGATAGACAACATGTATTTAGGAAATTAATGATCTCCCAGGATTGCAACAAAATAGTTTTTTATTCATCTTCTATAACGAGTACTTTTTATTCACCAGTGCAGTTGTATTGATAATTTTATTCATAATGAGTGATTTGTTGATATTTCATTCATTCTTTTGTGATTAATTGCTAATGTACTGTAACCTTTTTGTTTTAGACACATACCCATTTTGTTTGTTCATATTCATGATCTTGGTCAGAAATAAGTTGCAGTTGATTGTCTGCCATCTGGGGTAATTTATGTAATTAACCCACCAAATACACTGGAAGATGGATTAATTTACAGAACAAATATTGTATGTTTCGAGTAACTTAAAGTGACACTTGCGTCAAAATTTTTATTCTCTTAAACGAAAATGCTTTAAAAAACTGTATAGTAACTTGTTTTGAAGTTTTTGTTCCCATGCTTAGTTCTTGAGATACTTCATTTTGTTTGTAACCACGCATGTGATATAAATGACTCAATTACATATATAATGAAACATTAGTAATTGTTGAGTATCTATGCTGTTTTTGATGAATTTGTTTAAAAAAACAGAATGCTTAATGAAACACGTCACATATTTGAAAAGATTTAAAAAAATAGCAAAGATACATGTAATACAACAATTATCATTTATAGACCTGGAGCGAGGGGGATTCGGCGAAATATTACCCGAAGTGATGATATTTCCCGAGGGGCTTTGCCCCGAGGGAAATATCATCACTGAGGGTAATATTTCGCCGAATCCCCCGCGCGGAGGGTCTATAAATGATATATTATACCGAAAATTAAAAGCCTCCAAGTTGAGAATTAAAAACTTGACACATACCTTCGTGAATACGATGTTTTATTTTCGGATTAACGCAAGTATTCGTCGATTTTCTTTCGAATCACATATCGTTTGGAATATTAATGACAACATTTTTCAAAATTTGCTTCAAAATTTTGAAAAAGCACCATGTTTTACATTTAAAATTTGATTATTCATCACTCATCAATACTATTAATATTTTGTCGGCCATGTTTTTGCCATGCGTGTTGTCCATAGGTGTTGTCACGCGCGGTCTACGCGAATAATGTTCCACCCCATGTTCCCCGGGGAACATGGGGTGGAACATTGTCAAAAGGAACCCAGGCTCGCCAATTGATGACGTAAGGCGTGATATCGCGATTAATTTCATGCTCACGTGGCACAAACTAAGCTTCCTGGTTGGACAATTTGAATTTGACGTATAATATTTACTGATATCTCATTACATATGTAATTGAGTTATTGACGTCACATGGTTACAAACAAGATACAATCTCAAGAACTAAGCATGGGAACAAAAATCTTCAAAACAAGTTACTACTGTATGCAGTTTTAAGAGCATTTTTGTTTAATTAAGAAAATAAAAATTTTGATGTGAGTGCCACTTTAAGTAATAAATTTCATTAAATTAAGCATCAATGTTGAATTATTCTGTTTTTCACTGGGTACAAAATATATAAGTGGCGCTCTTAAAAATAACATGTAAAATATAGTTTTCCCATTATGGTGGAAACTGAAATAGTGCACTCATTATAACATCGGCAATTGTGATTGCGCAATTGGATGCAAATTAATGGTGTGATGCATATAAACTGATACACTCACTGAGTGTACAATTATTCAGTCAAAATTGTTTATGCTGAAAATTTGCAGTGCATAAAATTTAAATTTGATTGTGCATGCATGCAAATTAATTAGTGCATATTTTATAAATCAGCAAAATAATAATTAAATGCTGTTAAATTCTCCGAGTTAATTGCATGCATGCCAATTGGTATTGCATGCATGCAATTCTTTGTGCATGCATGAAAATTGGTAATAGCATGCATGCAATTCATTTTGCATGCATGCAAATTGGTAGTGCATGCATGCAAATTGGTAGTGCATGCATGCAATACATATTTCATGCATGCAATACATGATTCATGCATGCAATAGTGCATGCAAATTTGAGTGCATGCAGGCATGCAAACATGCCTGCATGCACATGCATGCAGCATGCATGCATATTTTGGAAGGGAGGTCCCTAGTTTTACAATGTTCATAAGAATAATTTTTTATTGTGGAATAGAATATTTACAAGTAATGATTATAACATAACTAAGTATTAAGAAGAAGAAAAGTTTAATTTAACTAAAAATGATTTTTCTATATACAAGACATGAAGGCTCTGTGTTTTCTGATGCGTATATACAAACATTATGACTAGTTTGATGACAATCAAGTATATTCCAAAAAGAATATATTTGATTTTATTTTAAAAGTAAAATAACACCTAATATTGCTTATCTTTTCATCAAGAGAATTCTATATTTCAATTCCTTTGTTAATGATGGTATGTTTGGCATAATTGGTTCTTCTATAGTTAACGTGAAATTTGTTTGCATTTTGAGTATTATAACGATGTATTTCACTATTCCGCGTGAAGTAATTATTAAAAAATTCATATTTAAAATCTTCAACTTGTGAAATAACGGTTCAGTGTGTTCAAGATAGGATTTGAAGGTGATCAGTCTAATAATTTTTTTCTGTACATTCAGCAACTTTTGAAGCCTTGTTGGGTATTTGTTTCCCCATGTTAGATTCCCATAAGTAAGAAATGGATAAACCAATGCATAATAAATTAATTTTAGCGTATTTCTGTTTGTAAAATGTCGTAGTTTTGCAATAAGTGCAGTGGCTTTAATTATATTTTTCAAAACCGAGTTTATATGGTTCTTCCACGTCAGATTTTGATCTATTATTACACCTAAAAATTTTACATGAGAAACCTGTTATATTGTGTTAAGATTTAGTTGAATATTAATTTCAGTGTCGCATTTCTTGCTGCTTGATTTAAAAATAATATATTTAGTTTTTGTTGTATTTATTGATAATTTATTCACATTAAGCCAATTAGTTACTTTATTCATTTCTTCTTGCATGATGTTTGTTAATGATTTTTTTTTTCATACATAACAAATGAAATAATTTTACTACAATTTTCAATGTCATTAATATATAAGAGAAAAAGTAGTGGTCCAAGAATTGATCCTTGCGGAACTCCTGTAGATATTGTCCTTTTGTTTGATCTATGATTACCAATTTTAACAATTTGCGTTCTTTTGTATAAGTAGTTTTAAACCATTTAAGACAATGTCCTCTTATACCATAATGTTCAAGTTTTTTTAAAAGAATTTTGTGGTTTACTGTATCAAAAGCCTTAGATAGATCAAGGAAAATACCGGTTGTAAATTTACCTTCATCTATAGCTTTTGATATTTTGTCAGTTAATTCAATAATAGCATGTTCAGTTGACCGTTTTTTTTTGGAAACCATATTGATGTTTAGATAAAATTTGTTTTTTCTCAATGCATGAAATCAGTCTTTTATACATCAGTTTTTCAAGCAATTTTGAAAAACATGAGAGAACCGATATTGGTCTATAATTTTCAAACAAATGTTTTTCATTTGCTTTAAAAATAGGGGTAACAAGAGCTATTTTTAACAAATCTGGGATTATTCCGTTTTGAATAGTTAAGTTGAAAATATGTGCAAGAGGTTTACTGATCTCGTGTTTTATTTTTTTTACCATTTTAGAACTTATTTCATCATATCCTGCACTTTTGTTTGTATTTAGTTTTTCAATCTCAGTTATTATTTCATATTCAGTAATAGGTTCAGTGAACATACTTTCTGGATAATTACCTTTGAGCTAATTTTCGAATTTTATTGTGTCATTTTTTAAATACTTTTTGCTAAATTTGGTCCAACATTTACAAAATATTCATTAAATTTGTTTGCGATCACAACTGGGTCAGAAAAACTAACATCTGAATTCTTTTGTTGAAATGTGTCCGGCAATCTTTCTTTGTTTCTATTTCGATTTAATATTCGATTTATAGTTTGCCATGTCATTTTGTTATTGTTTTTGTATTTAATAAATTGATTTTCAAAATAAACTTTTTTTGTTATTTTGATTAAATGTTTTAATTTATTTTTGTAGTTTTTGTAGATTGTTTGGTTCTTTTTACTTGGGTTTTTAAGGCATTTTTTATAAAGACGGTTTTTTATTTCTATAGACTTTGAAATACCATGAGTCATCCAAGGACTTTTACCATAATCAATAGTTCTTTTTCTCCTTTTTGCTAAGGGAAAGCTTTTTTCAAACGCAAGTTTAATTTTATTATGAAAACTGTTGTACAATTCGCAGGCATCATTGTTTTCAAAAATGAAATCCCATGATATATCTTTGACTGATTTTAAAAATGATCCGAGATTATTATTGTTTACTGTTCTTTGATGTTGTGAAGTTTCTAAATTGGAATTATGTTTTTTCATTGTTAGTGATGCGATATGAAAAATAGTAAGATGATCTGAGATATCAGTAAAAATTAATCCATTCTTACTCATGTATTCAATTTGTTCAAGGTACGTCATTGGTGAATATATTGTCAATTAACGTGGCAGTGTGTTCCATTATCCTTGTTGGTCTTGTAATAATTAAGAGGAAAAAATTATGACGTAAAAAATTGCTCACTGAATCTATTAGAAAAGTCACAACTTTCTGATTTTAAAAGGACAATGTTAAAATCCCCCATAAAATATGTTACTTTGTTTGACTTATCAACTTTACTGAGAATTTTGTTTAAATTAGTTTCAAATATTTCAAATTTACCATTTGGTGGTCTATAAAGTGTGCCAACAATTATGTTTTTGCCAACTGTTGTAATAATTTCAACGAAGAGTGATTCGATTATTCCCTCTTCGTTGATATCAAGGTCTGGACGAAATTTAAAGTTTAAGTCATTGGAAATAAACATTCCAATGCCTCCTTTTTTCTTGTTTCTGTTTGTGCTAACAAAGTTAAAATTATCTAGTTCATAATCTGTGCAGTTTTCATTATCAAGCCAAGTTTCCGTTAAACTGATTATCGAAAATGAATGTTTTACTGATTTTAACAAATATTTTAAAGAGTCGAATTTATTTATAATACTTCTTATGTTTAGATTCAGAATAGAAAAGTGCTCGTTACTGGGTATATCCCGCGATATATCATTCGGAAGATAGTATTTGCATGAAATGTTATTAATGTTAGTAAGCATATCGTATTCATCATTACCTATAGATGTGTATTTGGTGTCAAAAGGATTAAATTTAAGTCGCATTAATTTATCCATATCCTCCTCACTGGGAAGTCGAGAGAAATCCCCAAAAGTAAAATTAAAATCTAGTGGATCTATTGAGTTAAAAGGTAATGAGTTGTTTAAGCATATGTGGCATGTATCAATTTCCGTTTGTTGACATGTGAGAGGCGATTTAATGCAGGTATTTTTCACATGAAAACACCTCCCACACATCACACAAGTAACGTACGCCGGTTTTATCAAAAGCTATTTGATGAAAACATGTAGAACAAATTTTCTTGTCTACGTTTATAGAAGCCATATCTAGTTAGATAATAGAAATGTCAATATATCATGAGTAAATAATAATCACCTTTCAGTTTTAATTAAGTCGGGGAATAAATTCCACATTGTTTATAAAACCCTTACGAAAATATTCTATAGAATATTACATTGAAATATTCTATGGAATATTCTATGAAATATTCTAAAGGATTTTGGAACCTATTCTATGGCATATTCTATGGGATAGTCTATGGGATATTCTAAAGGATTTTGGAACCTATTCTATGGGATATTCTATGCAATATTCTATTGGACATTCAGTTGAATTCTATACAATATTCTATAGAATGCCCTATAAAAAATTCTATAGAAAGTTCTATGGAATATTATATGGCATATTCTACTGAATATTCTATGGAACATTCAGTTGAATTCTATGCAATATTCTATAGAAGGTATGGAATATTTTATATAACATTCTGTATTAGATTCTATAAGATTTATAAAAGTTTCTATTAAGAAACATTTATTAAAACACAATTACCATTGTATAAAGAACTTGTTTAATTATTAACTAAACATTAGTAAAACAGCTAGTTAACCATTATCAGAATTATATGTTTATAGCTACCATTGAACTACAGTAGGAAATGGGTATTTAAAAACTAGTCAGCAGCTGCAAGATACAACTGCCTCATGCCTGGAAACAATTATAGCAATTTTATTTGGTGGAGAATATCATTTACATAAACTTTGCAGCAAAGATTTCAATGTGCCTGGATTTCAATATTAAGTATGTATAAACAGATGTAAATATCCAGGCTTAAATTAAAATTAAGTGCTGCCAACAGAACCAATGTACGTGGCATATTGTCCACAAAACAAAACAACTATGCAAGAATTTAAAAATAAACATTGGGCTAGTCAAACTGTTGTAGGATTACTCTAACACTGGCCATTTTGCAAGAGTTGTAATTGCTCTTCCAAGTTGGAAACAATATCTGTTAGGCATGGCATTACTATACAAAAATGAAAAATAAGTAAATGTTACCTATTAAGTTTCATTGCATCCTACTTTATTATTTTACTCTGTCTAACACCAGACAACTTTACTCTTCAAGGGGATAGCAGTTTTGCTCAATGGATTAACCCTTTCATGCACCCCATATGCCCAACTTTAGTATTTACTGTCTAACGCTCACTCTATCTCATCGTCTGTGTAAATTTAGTATTTACTCTGTCAGACAATGTTACTCGTCAAGTGAATTAGAGTCTTGAACATTAATGGGTTAACAAGACATCTGCCATTATGTCCTGTTAACCCATAAATACTAAATTTAACATTAAATAAATCTTAATTAACTCAATTAAACACATACCAGTTGCCACTGTCCAGCTTAGGGGTGTTTACAAGATCCAGACTGATTTGTCTGGCTTGGGGGGCCACTTTAGCTAGGCCAGTATATAATTTTCTTCATATAAAGCACTAATTAAGAAGACTAGTCTGGCTATAGGCAAGGCTACGATATTCTGTATCAATTGCAATAAACTTGGACAGTGCTATTTTACCTCACAACACCAGTTTGTCAACTCAATCCAGAAATTTCCAACTGTTGAGAACAATATTTTGAGCCGGGCTATAGCCCAGCTGCAATATTTAATCTAAAAATGTACAAGGACAACATTTGAGGCTTTGTCTCAGCACTAGCTAGTGACTATAGTGCTTATTCCAGCTTTACAAACATATAATTTTATACACCTGAAGCTCATTAACCCATTCCCAAATTTGAAGTTTGGGCAAATAATGTGCTGCAATTTGCATCTTTCAACACACTGAAAATATCACATCAATACTTATATTTCAAGTATTAAAATGATAACATATCTTAATAATATCAATATATTTCATATACTTTGACAAAGGTCGTCTAGCAGTGCCAAATTATGCCAAAGGCAAAGACACTTTATATTGTGGATTGTTATAATTAAACAACAGTGCGTAATTTAGTATAGAATATAGCTTGTCACGAACCAGATGTGCTCTTTGATTAGCTGCCTTTGCTTTTCTCATCTCTGGATACAATGTTTGTCAACTTTCTTGATCTCTAATGGAAACTGCTCCGAGATTCCGATCTGTGTTCCCTTCAATTTTTTTTGCGTTATAGCGGATCTTCTCTCGGTCAGGAAAAAAATTGAACTTTGCGACAATTGCTCTTGGCTTCCGTCGGTCGTCGCGTTTCCTGCCAACTCGATGCGCTCGGTCGATTTTGATCTCTCTTCTTGCATCAGGCATCTCTAGCTTTTCTTCTAACAATTTGAAGATTATATCGGTACAATCTTCTTTAACGCTTTCTTCAATATTGTGGAATAGTAAGTTATCCTGCATCGACCGCGCTTTGAGGTCTATCACAAGTTAGGATCATTACCCATCTGGGCATCACAAGATTATATACAACAAACTATGCCACAGCCTTTCAAAAAAACCTACCCAAATACCTGTGTAATTATTGATTGTACAGACTGAACAACAAATTGAAATGCCAACATCATTTAGAAGTCAGTCTGCATTTTTGAAAATGGGCACTTCACCTCACCTATCCCAAATGTTTTTGGCTCAGCATAATTATATAACAAGTAGTCTGGTTTCACCAAGCCATGGAGCTTCTGTGTTAACAAATAACCCACACTGAACACATGCAGTCATTACACATGCAGTCATTATCAGTTCATCCTGAATTATTTTGCTCTAAATGTTTTTCAATGGCAATCTGCTCATTACTGTTGGCCCACTTGACATGCTTTACATTGCTTGCTGGCAAAAGGAAAAGAAGTGATGTGAGGAAAACATTTTCTCTTTTCGTTTCATTGCCGTACTGAGATGTGAGGTAGTTACAGTAGACAACCTCGTTGTTCATGAAACCAAAGTTTGCTCTGTGACTGACCTCTTGTATTGCATTCAATGTCAACCATTTGTTCTTTGGGTGTAAAAAGAGTATTTCGAGTATCTGGTCTATATACTCCGGAGAACGCAAATGTTTGCACACTGCTGCAAAGGCAAATGTTTGCACACTGCTGCTAGGAACAGTAAGTTGTTCCAGTATAGATGTTTGAATTTTGTTTTGTACATTTGATTTGCAAATACAGTAGGTTTGCATTATTGAATGCCTTTTTTTGAAGGCAATTCCTCAACAAATTCTATAGGAAGAAATTCTATTAGAAAGGTTCATAATTGTTGGATGGCAGATGTAAAATTTTGAGCTCCATCAAAATACAATTTAAAAGTTTATTTTTTGGCTGTAAGAAGTCATTTCTACATATAAATTTGACTTCAAATTTGATATAAGTACTTTGTTTGTATTAATCGCTATTTGTGGAGCTGGGAAAATGTATTGCAAAGCTTTTCTAGACAGTAATATAACAACATGATGTCAAGAAATAAATATGGGTGGCTGTTTACTCTGGTGTTGTTTTTACTCTGCATTGGTCAAGATCAGGACATAAGAGTCATAGGTGGGAAAGAAGATCGAGATGGTGGTTTGAACGGTATAACTATAGTTTATACCTTTGAATTTAATGCTACAATACTGAGCGGTAAATATCACACAGTGCATGGATTATTAAGAAAGGGTTACATGAAAACTAGGATACGTTTTTATGCGAACAGTGTAGCTGGTTTTCAGTTAACTAAATTACTAGAATGTGGAGATATATGTCCCAATCCAGGACCGAAAGCAAAGTCGAGTCAAAGGCTCAAATGTGTCCACTGTGAAAGAACGATAGCTTGCAATCATAGAACCGTATCGTGTAAGGACTGTGGGCTGCATTTCCATTTCAAATGTGCGGGTTTAACGCTGAGGGATTATCATAAAATGGAACAGAATTTAAAGCAACAGTGGATGTGCACAGCTTGCTTATTTTCCGTTCTTCCTAATAACCTAGATATGTCTATGGTAAGCAGCTCTTCAAACAGCATCAGTGATAAATATGATGATCTAGACCAAGGATAAGAAAACGATAATCTTCAAAGCCTTCTAGATACACGACAGACTTATGCAAATCACTGTCTCTTAGCACATTTGAATATTAATAGCCTTCAAAATAAGTTTGATGAGCTACAATTAATAATGAACAAGCTGAAAGCAGAAATACTAGTTCTCACAGAAACAAAAATTGACTCCTCATACCCAAACAGCCAGTTTACATTAACAAATTATAAAATTTATCGAAAAGATCGATCGAAGGGCGGGGGAGGTGTCTTAATCTACGTATCAAGCAAGTTTCCATCTAAGAGACTCAATCTGCAAAAATTATACAAGACTATAGAGATATTGGCTGTAGAAGTGAGAATGGGTAATGCTCAAATTGCTGTGCTAGGAATATATAGGCCCCCGTGTAACACTGGCGAAAATTATTTCAAAACACTGGAAGATGAGCTAAACCAATTACTATTGTGGGCCGCGTCGAAGTGCCAGACAATAGTAATCACAGGGGACCTCAATCTGGACCGATTAAGACCAAATGAGCGTGGGGGCAGATTATTAATAGATCTAGAGGAAATTTTTAACTTAAAGTGTCTAATTAATGAGGCCACAAGAGTAACAGTAAAAACACAAACTCTATTGGATGCGATATTAACTAACACACCAGATCTATTCGGATTCGCGAGTGTGACAGATCTAGGACTTAGTGACCATAAACTGGTATATTCGTTTCTCAAGAAAAGTCCAGCTGAACAACATGAAGCAAAGGTGATTAAGTGCAGAAGTACGAAGCACTTAAATAGGGAGGAACTCTCGCGGGACCTAAACGATACGAATTGGAATGAAATTTTTTCACATGATACTAATGAACGGTACGCCAATTGGAAAAGTAAGTTCATGGAAGTAATAGACAGACATATGCCTGTGAAGAAAATGAGACTGAGAAAGAAAGACGTCCCATACATGAATGCAGAATGGAAAGAGGCAATACGTAAGAGAAGAAAATATGCGAAGAAATTTAGTAAGGATAGAAAGTGTGAAACATGGGAATTAATGAAAAGGTGGAGAAATGTAGCAACACGACTAAGGAGAAAGGCTATTAAGAGCTACTGGAATGAAATATCACTTGAATTAAATGAAAACCCAAGGAAATTCTTTTCTACGTTTATGCCATTCATTAGTTCAAAGGGACAAAAGGAGACGAACGAGATCCATTTGAATATTGAAGGCAGAATAGAACAAGATCAGCGAATAGTGGCAGAAGAATTCGCAGACTACTTTTCGACAGTGGCTGATGCTATAGGAGGGGAGGAAGCCACTAATTTGACTGAGGAGAAATGCATAAACCATCGGAGTATAGAAATGATACGTGCAAGATATGAACCAGATTCGTTCTCATTTATTGAAATTAAACGAGAAGAAGTTCTTAAAGCCCTTAAGGAATTAAATCCGCGAAAGGCTACGGGGCATGATGAGATACCATCTAAGGTTTTAAAGTTGGTGGCAGAAGAGATAGCGACACCACTTACTGACATATTTAACCAAGTCATCAAATATTGTGAATGGCCTCAGGAATGGAAAATGGGGGAATGGATTCCAGCATACAAGAAGGATGATCATCACGATAAGGCTAATTACCGACCAGTAACTATATTAAGTATACTAGATAAGATTTTTGAACAGCTACTTTGTCAGCAGCTGTCTCAAAGATTTGAGAATATCTTTGATCCTTTTATCTCAGCGTACAGGAAAAATTACAGTTGCGAAATCGCACTCGTTTGTCTGGTCGAGGATTGGAAGCAGGCAATGGATGAAGGGCAAACAATTAGTATTTTATCAACGGATATGAGTAAAGCATTTGACTCGCTGCATCCCACTTTACTCTTAGCTAAACTCAAAGCTTATGGATTCACTCAAAACGCGTTAGATTTGATGAAATCATATTTTAAAGAACGTATGAATAGAACAAAAATGCGACAGGTAACCAGCGAATGGAAAGAAACAAAGAGAGGATGTCCTCAAGGCTCTTCTTTGGGCCCGACGTTATGGAATATCTACCAGAACGATTTATTTTATGTTGAACGTGAAAGTCGGCTATCTGCGTACGCGGATGATCATCAGCTTTACTATGCCCATAAAGAACCAGAGAGAGCAGTGGACACTATAACCCGAGATGGAAAACAAACCTTCTGTTGGTACACTGAAAATTTCCTTGAAGGAAATTTAAGCAAATGCCAAGCAATGACCATATTGAAAAATTCGCAAGAACTGAATATAGAAGTAGACAGTCGTAAAATTAAGATAACAGAAAAGCTTATCTTGCTGGGTGTGGAGATTGATGATCAACTGTATTTCGATGAGCATATTTCAACAGCGTGTAAAAAAGCAAGTATGCGTGTGGGTATATTGATGAGATTACGGAAATTAATTCCAGTTAATGCAAAGTTAAAGATCTACAAAGCCGCTATATTACCGTATTTGACGTACTGCGGATTGGTCTGGCACTTCTGTAAAAGCTCGGATTGTAGAAAGCTAGAACGGGTAAACGAGCAGGGGCTGAGAGCAGTTTTCTGTGACTGGAACTCAACATATGAAGATCTACTGTTAAGGGCCCAGTTAACAAGTTTGTACAACCTGAGGTTGCAAGACATAGCCATATTCATGTTTAAAGTCAAACAAAGGCTACTTCCGAACAATATATTAAATATATTTATAAACACACCAAGGAATTATAATCTTAGAAACTCAGACTTTCTTATACCGAGATTTAAGTCTGTAAAATTTGGAAAACACTCATTAAGGTATTATGGACCTTACCTTTGGTCAAAATTAAAATCCGAAGACATAAATCAGACTTCCCTATCTGCTTTTAAGCGTAGTATCAGAAAAACAGACCTCAGTTGTATTGCATGATAAACTCCATAATAATAGTCTTAGTACTAAGCTGTAGTAAAATAATTAGTGTATTATATATGTAATCATAGCAGAAATCTTAGTAATATACAATAGGTGTAAATTCAGTTGTTTAAGCTTAGTGTCCCCAATTAGTAGGTTATCTGTAACCGGCTAGATGTAAATGACACTTTAATAAAGTTCCTAACTAACTATACTAAAAGGCCCTGCAAATAATCACAAGTGCCAACAGTCAAACCGGTCTTAATGTTTTCTTAAGTTTTTTCTGTATTGGTGTTGTGTACTCAGGTGAATAATATGTTTGCGATGTTACTCTGAGTGCATATCCACACCGGGCGAGCTTGAAAAATATGCCCGGCCACGGTGGGATTCGAACCTACAACCTTTGGAATACTAGCCCAATGCTCTTCCAACTGAGCTACACGGTCAGGACAGTTCGAGTAAGTGATATTTCGGAACAGTATCTAGTTCCTTCAATACCAATGTGTTCTAGTAATATGAATTTTCTGTATTGGTGTTGTGTAGTATTCCAAAGGTCATAGGTTCGAATCCCACCGTGGCCAGGCATATTTTTCAAGCTCGCCCGGTGTGGATATGCACTCGGAGTAACATCGCAAACATATGTTTTCTTAAGTCTTCAACATTTACATGTTTAGCAAAAGCAGGTGCTGGGTTGTTGTAGTTTGCTGTGCAATTTTTTTCTGTCTTGAAAGTTGCCTCGCTTATTTTTACTTTGTCGAAAAGCACTGCAGTATCAAGTTTCTCATTAGTAAGTTCAGTGACTGTCAGACTGTGTACATGTTAAATCATGTGGGACTTCAGTTTAATAATTGAAGTTGGATATTGAGTTCAAAATTTGAAATAGCAGGGCAGCTACATGTTTACAGCAACGGAACCACCTGTACAAGTGCAACTTGCACAAGATATTTAACCAGTGTCTTTAAAGGGAAACCTCACATATCTATTTTTTCCACGAGAAACGTCATATGTTCGTTTGGGGGTGGGGGGGTTGGCAGCTGTGACGTTTCTCTGTAAACATCATGGAAAAAATCGATAGTTTTTATCTTTGCAGAGTATAAAAAAGAAAACAATTTGATACAAACAGCAGTCTATATATTCGTAATGCCATACCTGTTCTATACCTATACATTTATATTATTACGCCTTCTTTGCATTTGAAAACACTCAAATTTCAAGAAATACGCGCTAAAATTATCAATATTTCATGCAAAAAAAGTTGTTTTGAGAAACGTTGGAAATTTTGAAGTTTATATATATATTAATAAAAAAGAGTATGTCGGCAGAAGATGACTTATTCCTCGCGGAAGCATTACCAATAGCCGACCGAAAAAAATAGTAGAAAATTACCTTATACGTACTATATTAAAAGAACAAAATATCGATAACTATGTGTGACGTTTTTAAGGGGGTGGGGGGGGGGGTCTCCAGACAAATGAACATATGACGTTTCTCATGGACAAAATCGATATGTGAGGCTTTCCTTAGACCTACAGTAGGTGAACATAGATTCCATAGTGTGCCTTTTTCATGGAGGCATACACAACACTTTTAATTAATTAAACAGGAAAGATGTTTCTGTGCCTTTCAAAACATTAGCCTTAACTACAACCTGGGTAACCATTTTATCTTTGAACAGTTGATGGCCATATTTTTATGCTTGTGAGCATTTGCACGGTCCAAGTTTACTGAGTAGTCAGTTATCAAATGTTCCTTCAATAATGCATGCATGGGTATTAAAATACCACTGAGGTTTCTTGTCCACTGTATTCCTTACTCCATATTTACAAACAGCAAACCAAACGTCTCGAAACTTTCCAAAATATACTCGAAACAAGCGAGGTTGCTTTAAATTTTACTCGCGTAAATATGTTGTAGTTAAAAACTCCAATAAGACACTTGAACAGCAGTGAATAGTACTTAAAAGTACTTTATAAATCTTTGAAAACATTTGAAATTTCTGTATTTCAAACAGTAACTGTTTTGATTTTTCGCGCCAAACAACCTCAATGTTTTGTGGTTGTGAAACGAATGTTTGATCAAACATCTGTTGTTTTGGGACGGTCAAATGTGCAAACATTTTTGTCTCTCGAGTCGCTAGAATTAAACCGATCATTAAAATTTTTAGGCAAATAATAGTTTACAACGTGTTCGTTCTTTCGAAAATAATTTAATGCAGTACTCACCTTCATGTTGTGAAATATTCAAAAATTTGTTCCCGACTACTACGAATCGAACTCCTTCCCCGCTTCAGTGAGTTTGTACGCCATGTTAAATGTACGCCATATTTAATAAGTGTAAGCGCCATGTTGAAGAATTCTGCTGTGTAACTAAACTACCATGATGCTTAGCAATTCTGCAATTGGCCATTTGAAAGCACATTTACATGTCTTACATGGTGAACAAATTTATCGAAATTTCAAACCCAAACGATGGAAAAGACATGGAAAAGTTCGTAAAATGTTATTCAGATCTCACGAAGAATAGTTTTATTTTGACTTGTTATTCAAGCACTTTAAATTGCGAAAGAATATAGTGAAAATATGATTGTTACTTGAGCCATGTGTCTGAAATTCTGTTGAATATAATTTTGAATTTGTCGCCTTCAATTTGCATAAGAAACATACGAAATGTTGGTTTCTGGCAAGGAAAGAAAGAAAGAATAAAATATCAATTCGAATCTATTATAGTAAATTCTGTACTAAATTGTGCACTAATGCACTATTAATATCACCAATTTAGCAATAATTGTCTTTGGCATTTAATGGCATATACAGTAATAATTTGGCACTTTTCTAGACCTTTGTCCAGGGTGTATATTAAACTTAATAATAAAACTATATGAAATAATATATTAAACATACTTGTGCTTTTAACAATATGAAATAATATATTAAACATTTGAATGCTGTTAAAGATATGTTAGCATTTTAATACATGAATAAGGATTGTAATTACAGAAGAATTACAGCATTGAATGTGATATATCAGTGTATTTATCCTTAACCCATTAAGCTGCAACTGTGTTACTTTACTTTTCCTAATGCCAGAGAATTTTACTTGTCAAGGGGAGAGTATTGCAAGCTCTTTATTAACAAGCTTCAGTTGTATAAAATGATATGTTTGTAAAAGCTGGAAGATGCACGAGCACCGAGACAATGCCTCAAATGTTCTCTTTATATATTTTCAGATTAATATTGGAACTGGGTTATAGCCTAGCTCCAAATATTGTTCTCAAGTCACAACAATCAGATCTGGATTGAGTTGACAAACTGGTGTTGTAAGGTAAGAATTAACAAGAATAAATAGTCTGCTTTTAGTTAAAACGACAAACTGGCCCAGCTAAGGTGGCCACCCAGGCCAGACAAATCAGTCTCTATTAGTATAACTAGTAACAACATAATTACACATGAATCCTGTGATTTAAGGCCTGTTAACACTGACACTGTGCTCAATTTTGGTACCTGTAACATGTTTACCATGCTTGGACTACCTATTCATACCGGCCGAGCACACATAAATTTGGTACAGGCACCAGTTTTATCTGTGCCGTACCAAAAATTGAGCATTAGTGTACAACAGAGGCCGGTTGTTCAAAGGTGGGTTAGCGCTAACCCTGGGTTAAATTTAACCTGCTGCTTTAGTTCGTGTATTTCTACAAGTCTGTTTCAAAACTTCAAAAAAATAAACTCTTATCGATCCAGACAAGATATCTGAAGAAATATTTTCAAATTTATAGACAAGCTGTCAGGAAGTTTGGATTGAATTTTAGATTAACCTAACCTAGGGTTAAGCTACTGTAACCCAGCTTTGAGCAACTGGCCCCAGGGCTAATTTAGTAGTTTGGTGCTTTAATAATCTAAATTATGCCAGAAGTATGAAGAGTCGGTGTGCAATAGCCAATTTTCTGTCATGAATGAGTCATTACAGTATGGTACAGGTGGAGCTGTCCATAGGCCTGCAATAATGCAGGGGGAGGGGCTGTAGCTGGACCCATTGACCTGCAATTTGGCCTAATGTGCTCTGCCTTGTTAAATTAATGTACTCTGTCTTGTTAATTTACTCTGTCTGATACCAAACAATTTTAACTATATTTCCATGCTTCATACTAAGTCCACAAAAGAAATGCCTGGGTTTCTATTTCTCATATGCAAAAATAATATCTCATATAAAAAGATTAGGGTTGGTGATTTCTTTGGCCTAACTCATTAGTAAGCCCTAATGTCTCCTGTAATATACTTTACAAAAATATTAAATCAAATGTAACCTAGTAGATGGTTAACTAGAAAATACATGCATGCAGAAACCCTCACCTTGCTGACAAAACCATTGTATTTTCCGAACATGAAGTATCTAAAGTTGTTGTCATGGTGACACGATAATTTTTTAAGAATATTCTTACAAATTAAAAATTGCCTAAAAATATCACTTTTAATTACAAAATTATCAATTTCCCAACATATATATGTTAGGTATGTTATTATACGTAATATAAGCTTCAATTTAAGCTAAAATTCAACCACAAACGCTTTGCAAAACGCTTTAAATTAAAGTGTTCTTTAATATAAAACTAAACTGCCTTTAGGCTTTAATAATTAAATGGCTTTATCAATAACCTTTGAGTTTGCAATAAAATGATTTCAAATTCTCACATGCAAATAACTTTGCTTTCTTGTTTATTTAAAATATTCAATATAATAAAAAAGGGAATCAATATTAATAATACACTGAAATTATATGCTGTCTTGTTTAGTTGTTTCATATACGCAAAGGGCCAAAGGCCGTCGGGTTTTAAAGCAATTATGAAATCAATATTTAAAACAAACTTACCTTTGTTAACGTCGGGTCCCTTCTTTTAGCCGATTCTTTCACCCTTGCTTTCTGAGAAAGCTTTTGAAATTTACAAAATCTTGCAAAAATGCGAGCAAAAATGAAATATATTTGCAAGAAATTTTATATCAATCATCAAATCAAGTAATGTTTGCTATTTCGCATTTTTGCTGTTGTCATGCAGTCGTTATAATGCAAACTTTAAATTGGACCAATCAGTGTCCACGCCCGCGCTCATTGACGAACTTTAGACTTGGCTAATGCTTTCGTTTCCCCGGGTGTAAATAGCCGGGGGGAATTAGTACCCTCGCACGGCGCTTCATGCCGTCGGCTCGGGGATTAAGCCAATATTTATCTGGTAACCCATTAGACATGGCTACCATAAGGGAATCCCCTATTTGGCCTAACACTATCTAGATTATTCTTGCTGTCTCAATGCCAATTAAATCTAAAACATATTAAATAAATCTGATTTCATCAATTCCTATTTTTTCAGCTTTTGGTCTGGATGATACAGTCTATGGAAAGACAGCTGCTATGCAGTACAAGGTACAGGAAAAATGCTGTGGGGCTCGAAGAGGAGTAACTAAAAGCAAACCAGCTGAGTGAGACTTGACATTAACAATTAATGACTTTTAGGTACTCATTATTTATTTCTGGCCATGTATATAAATAAAATTATATAATATTAGGAAAGTGTAGGTTATAATAGTATAAAGTGTAATTACTCTGCCCCAGGGGCCAGTTGTTCAATGCTGGACTAGCGCTAACCCTGGGTTAAAATTTAGCCTGCTGTTTTAGTTTGTGTATTTCTACTGCACACGTCTGTTTATTTTAAACTTCAGAGAAGAAAACTCGTATCGATCCAGACAAGATCTCTGAAGAAATATTTCCACATTTATAGACAAGCTGTCAGGTTAACCTAGGGTTAAGCTAATCCAGCCTTGAACAACTGGCCCCTGGAGAAAATTTGATTGTACAGTGCATAATTATATGTGTAACTTATAATTATATATTTACTAATAAATACATTTAATATTCTGGGGCCGGTTGTATAAAAACGTAATTAGCGCTAACTGTAGTTAGCGTTAATCCCTGTACTGTAAATCCTTAACTGTAATTAGTTAACTACATGACTTAACTGCGTTGCACAAAACATAGCTTTGTCACGTAGTTAACTGTGCGTGGGGCATTTGAACACAAAATTACATAAAGTAAGCTGCGAGTAACGACCGCTGACAGATATTTTCAACATGATTGTGGACTCGTATTTTGCAAATAGGCGGGAATTTTATTCAAAACACTAGAAAACAGTGAAAAATAAACAAGAAAACAAGGAAAAACCGCCACAAATATCATAAAAGAATGCAGTTTTTCCTTGAGATGTCTACGTTAAACCAAGGTATAGCTGTTTGGCAATTATATATCAGTGTTTCTTGGTGTAATGGACCATACTTCATCTTCGAGAAATCGTCCTGTGCAAAAATATGTTCTGTTTTCATAACAAACACCAAAGCGATAGCGTTTGAAGAGCTTATATTGTCAGGAAACATTCACATGGAAGATAGTGATTGAAAATCTCAGGTAACCGTTGCTTTTCATTGTTGTTTTACTGAAAAATGTTGTTCACTCCTATATAAACGCCATTTTTAACTACGTTTTGGACAGTTAACTATACGCTAAAGCATAGTTAACTTTAACTACTTTTTAACTGCAGTTAAGGCTAACTACACTTTTATAGAACCGGCGTAACTACGTGATTAAAGTTAACTATTTTTTAAGGCTTTTTAACTACTTTTTAACTGCAGTTAGTGGTAACTACGTTTTTATACAACCGGCCCCTGATCTAGTATTTCTTCGTATTAAATTATTACGGCTTCAAGAGAACATGACAGAGGTACAGTTGCAGCAACTTGATGTTGCAGAAACTTGATGTTGCAGAAGTAAGAGGAAATAGTTTTATGCAAGAAATAAAACTCACTTGGTGGCAGTTATGTGACATATCTGCTTGGTAGATAATATACAGATAATTTTATCTGTAGGGAAACTATACTGTCACATAACTGTGACAGATATGTTATTGGGCCAAATTCCTATATGTTGCAGATATGTGACAGATATCTGTCATATAACTGTGACAGATATCTGTTACATAACTGTGACAGATATCTGTCGCATAAGGCCACATAAAATAAATTCCTTGATTCTTCATCACTAGACTTTGAAAGTGTCAAAGAGCCGGGTCTTAGGTCAGGTTGGTTTGTCGGTGATTAAAGATATTTAGGAAATTTGGTAACTGCACTCCAACCTATTAATTAAACATGTATGGTATAATTGTTCATACATGCATATTTGCTAGGTTTGATGAATAACTATTTCGATGAAGAACATTTTTTGGATATGGTACCTGATATATGCCAAGCTTTTTAAAACACAGACATAGTTGACTATTGACAGAAACAGAACCATTGACAGAAACAGAATGAAAACAATTTTCAAGGAAACTTCACTTAGGAAATATTAAAGTATCTTTCCATTTTGTAATATGCTGAGTCCTAAAAACAAATTATATTTATACACTACATTTTATAGTAAATTTGACGTAAGGTAATGTTGCAATACATAACATGCTGTTAATGAAATTCATGAAGACTCTCCCCTTGACAAGTAAAATAGACAGCTAGTGTTAGTTGTTACCCAGAGAAAATCAGAAAAATAGTAAAAAGTAGGGCACATCAGAGCATACTGCAGCTTGATACATTAACTGCATAATTCAGATATAGTAGTATTGTGAAAGAAAAAAGTATTTTTTTGGGGGGTGTGGGAATTTTTTAAAATTTAATATAGAAATGAATTGGAAGACAGAGTGAGACAGTGTGTGACAGAGTGAGACACAAGGCTCCACAGATGGGGGGTTGTTTTTTGGGGGGGTGTCTCCTGACTGCAAAATGACTGTTGCGCATGTGCGGAGGACGTGCGCATGTTGTGCGCATGCACGATGGAGATGTGAACCCAAACCTTGGTCGACCGAAGTGATTGAATTTGAATTTGGCGCGGTTCTTAAGCGCGAAAAAGGGGCGGCGCCTGGTGATGTAAAAAGGGGCGGCGCCATACTCCAGTCTCCAATCTGGAATCCGGAAATGACAGTCCAGTTTTTAGCATGTATCTTCATTGACAGAGGACAAAAAAGACTGAATTGATGAAACTGGACTCATGAAATTTTGGACTGGAGTAAGACACCGTCACTTCTGGCCGAAACCTTGGTCGGCCGAACTGATCGGTTTTCAAATTTGGCGCCGCTGATATAGTGGAAAAGTGGTGTGACGTGTTTCCGCCGCCGTGTTTCCGGTTGGTCAAAAAAAAGTTATCCGTAACAGAATCCCCACGTGTTATACACAACCTATATCCTTATAAAGGATATCATTATAAAGAGTTAATCATTTGGCTTATATACAAAATACAAAAACGACGTGTTGTTATAGCGGCGCATAAACTGGGGAGTTTTGAAGGAAAACTAATGGCAAAGTGGGAGGTTGTTGTTAAGGAGTGGATGTATAAACAGTTTCAAGATGGGGAAGAGGGCAAATGTACCCATTGGAAAATAAGTGAACTAGCAGACGAGTTGGTTATTAAAGAAATAATACCCGAAGGTGTAAAGGAGGATCACACACTGTATTTGCTTTTAATTGAGCAAATGAAAAAGCAGTTGGTCGAAATTACCCCCGTTCAAGTTGCTGCTACCCCAGTTTGCATATACGGTGTTTACAAAGCAGTCTGTGCTATGAAACGTCAGCGAGGAGGTTAAAAAAAGCAACACTTTAGGAAGGGAAACTGGAGTTGACATATATCATTATTATCGTTTGAAATCAGTGTCAAGAAAAAGTATTTCTTCAAGCGTGGGTTGTTTAAGGTTAACTCCTTTTAACACGCCGGTGTTCTTTTCCACTTTTATGGGTGTTTTATCTACCCGTTTTAATATGGGTTCATGTTTTGAGTTCATGCCGGCTTTTGTCCGCTGGTATACAAATGTTTCCCCTTCTTTCTCTTTCATTTTCAACCATTCTTTGCTGGCTTCATCACCACACATAAGACAGCTGTTAAAGGTTCTGCCTGAGTTTAAATGTTTGTATTGGTAGAGTGGCAGGTTCATTTGCATTTCAAAACCTGTGAATACAAATTGATGACCCTTATGCAAGTCTTTAAGTTTTTCTTGTTCCTCTTATTCGTGTTGATGTTGGCTTTCGTAGAACATACCCATTCTACAAGTACCGCAAAAACGACGTTTAAAACTGCTTTCATCGTCTTCATCTAAATAACAAACACCGCGAACATGTTTGCAGTGTTGGTTAGTACAACAACAGTTTCTGTCAGCGAATTGATCGATAATTTTATCAAAATCCATTTTCTTTAGACAATTCAGTGTTTGTCAGTGACGAGGACAAAGACGAAGATCCCAACTGCAATTACACCACGAAGACGATTTTTTAAATACCGCAGTTTTAGTTATAGAATAACCATGTATGGGCAATAGCGTTAGTAATAATGAGTGTGGAGATTATTTTTTCCTGTGAAGATCAAATTATGTATAGTAAAATAGTGACAAACGAAGAGTTTGAAATGGCTTTAATGTGTGTGACAAATGGGTCAACCCTTGATTATCCTTTTTTAGCAGGGTATTGTCATAAAAAATATGTAATGGATTTTTGGAATTACTTTTGTATTCGTGAAAGATATGATGTGGTAAGACATGTCGGGATGTTTATAACACGCTTAAAAGTGAGTGGCTACAGTTTTATCGGTAGAGCCAAAGAGAGAGAGAGTTTAAGTAAGCATAAAAACAATGGCAATGTCAATGTCAAAAACAAGCGTTTTAAAAAGCAAAATTGTGAAGATTAATGTTCTTAAACCAGGACATGGTTGGTCAGGTGAAAAGGATGATCAGAGGGAACGTTTTGATAACATTATGGCGAGATATCTGTGGATGTATACACACAATACACAACCCTATAAATGGACTTTTGTAAATGGCAGGATATGACACCATCAGTTGTGGTTAGGAAGTGGCAAGTGTTTTGCGAAATGTACCAAAGATGTTTAGATTGTTGGGGTATTAAGATTAAGCAAAATGTACCAAATATCTTTATACCCGAAGATAGTTATCCGAACGAAGTTGATGATCCATTTGGCAATGATGCAAAGCATCGCATGTCTTTATTGTATGGTGTGGCTATGAAAAAGCGGATGCCTTATCATGATGGAAACCCACGGGATGGTCCTGATCGCCGATATGAGTGTATTGACGAGTTAGTCGACCGAGTGTTTATCAAGGAAGGGAACACTGATGATGAAGAAACAGACGAAGAGGAACAAAATATTTGACAATATTTTTTTATTAACTTTTTATTATATTTTGCATTCCATTGAAATTGTAGAATTTGTTTGTAGAGTCATATTGTATACTATGTAGTTTATTAAATGTTTTTTGCTGATCCTACGTATTATTTTGTTGATGTCATTGATTTTCACATTCCAAGAGTTTTAGCCACGTCCTTTAAAGAAAAAAATAGTGTAATTAGTTTTTTATTTTCCACTAAAGATGTTTTATTTTTTACTGGATACCTTTGAAATTTCAATACAATCGTCGGGCTGCATACACAGTACACAGTATACGTTTTGAATGTTGCAAGTTATAACAAAACCTTCCAACGTGCTGTTAACAGGGTTAAATGTTCCAGGTGTAAGGTAGATGTTATGGATGTCGTTAGTGGTGTTGTGAATATAGACTTTTTTCCCTTTAATTTAGACACACGTCTGTTCTCCCTTTCGATCGTTTTCATTCCAGGATACAAACATATTTTGATTTTTTGTTTATTCAGGGATGTAAGCTTTCGACTCGTTCTGCTTCGCGGCAACATTGTGAGTGACATACCTTATCTGAAAACACAAAATTCTACATTTGCACTCTGTTGACGTCCTTGGTCCAGGAACCATAGCAGACTCCTTTTAGTCACACATCGATGATCATTGCCATTTAATTCAGTTAGCTGTGTATCACCAGTAAACTCTATACACTTTCCCGGTTCTAAATCAAATAAGTACACACTAGTATTAACGTGTCCACCTGTGCATCTTATTATAACGTCGACAGGTCCATAACTTGATAAATCTATACTTGTAGACAGGGCCAGGAATATACGATAGTTTATCTCCGTACCGTTTAGATAACAGTAGCGTTTACAGTCTAGATCGTAAGACGACATTTTGGTCATTTTAACAATTTTTTGGTTATTTTTATAGTGTGTGTTGGCTTTTTTTATTATCCTTATATGGTTAAATGAATCTTAGCGAGGAATTATTATTATTATTATTGTTATTCGGGGTTATATATATAACCCTTGATATTTTATTGTGGAGAACACTATTTGATACATTTGAAAATTGGGATGACCAGCAACGAGACAGTTTCATCATCCTCCAGTCCCAATAGTTTAACCTGGAACCACCATCGCAAAGAACCTATTGCGATATTTGCGGTGCTGATGATTTCGATGATTGTAATGAGAAAGCGCATGGGACGCTTGCGGGGCGAGCAGCATCGACTGTTTGCGAAATTTGTGGTGTTTTAAAACATTTACCCTGCGATGGAGCAAAACATTACGAATGGTTCACAGATGCTTATGAAGATGACGATGATGACGACGGTATAAAATTAGTATCACAGTACGATGATGATGATGATGATGATTTACAGGGTTTGACCGTTCTACCCGACACGAATATTCCCGAACGGAAAATGTTTGATGACCCTAAGGACGTTGAGGAGTATGTTAAAACTGCATACGAACATATATTTGCTGAACACAAAAAACTATATGATGAAGAATCTGGACCAAAAAAAAAATGTGATTTTTAAATTAATATATTACCTTTTTTTTGTTATTGTTTTTACAAGACTTTGTACTGCTTCCCTATATTCAGGACTGTTAAATATAGATTTATAACGTTTACGTATATCGCTTGGCGACACATAGTTGTCTTGTGTGTCAAAGTACATTTCATTGTCCATGTCTATATTCAAATGATTAGTAAAATACTATTCAGTAATATATATAAAAGTAGGGTAATTAAAACAGTAAGCCATAATATATTTATAGATATAGAGATAATATTAAAATAATGTTTATATTTCAGATATTTATGTTGTGGTAACTCGACACCAAAACCGACATGCCTGTTATTTATAAACCAAATTGTTTTTTATCATTTTCCATTTTTGTTTGCAGTTTTTGAAATGCGGACTGCATTTCATCACTATCAAAAGCCTTGTCTAATCTTGTATCAAGGAGACAGAGGTTGATTTTGTGACACTGTTCGCAACATTTTTCGAACTGTGCTTGCATTTTGAGGAAACAGTAGTAGTGTTGTGTCTTTTCTTGCTTTTACAATCCATCAAATCTTTTTTTACGTTCCTTTAGACAGTTTATTGCACTACACCAAACCGTTTGACTACTATTACCCACGTCGTCGGGTTTGTAAAATGGTTTGCACGGAATTTTAGTGTTGCGAGGTTCGGGCAAGGGTTTTAGTTCACAAGACTTTTGCGATGTAGAGGGACGGCTACATAGTTCCCGACCGTGCTTAGGATATACTTGCTCGTCGCCGTCGTTATATATGTGAATTGTACTATTGCTTGGACCCGGTATCTGCTCATCACAACTCTCAACACGCGAGTAGATATGGTAGGTTTTTTGCAATCCCGTTTCCACGTTTCAATCCCGTTTCAACTCGTTTCCACGTCTTCTTTTATATGGTTATTCCAAGTCAGATACTCATCAATTGTTATACCAAGAAAGGTTGTGCATTTAACATGTTCTATGTTTACATTATTTACGCTAACTTTTACATCTTGTTTTAATTTCTTATTTGTAGAATAATCAATTGGTGAACACCGTAACCTCTCAGGAAAATGAGCTTTGCTATATGGATCATTTGCTTTGTGAGGTGCCATCCGGTTATTTGCCCTCGAAGGATATTAACCTTTGCATTCACGGTATGCCAGGTCAATTTGATTCGGTAGACAATATCGAAGATGGTCTAGCTGGTCTGGTAAATAATGGAGCCAGGGAAAGATATTTGGTGTGTAACCGCACTGTTGCTTTAGAATGTTACGATCACATTGGTCTTATGGGGCAAAATAAACGCTTCATACCTACATCGCACGAAGTAAAGGTAATTTTACGGCATTTAGAGAAAACCAAAGTTTTGTTGGGCACAAATGCTCACTGTCAGGCAGTAGAAGTACATTTTGATGATTTAAAAATTAGTATTCCTGCCATGAAACTAAAATTGCAATTAAGTCAGGCAATTAATCAGGCTATGATTCAGAATGGGGAAGAGGGTAAGTACTATGTAATAACCCATCGCTATGTTCCCACACCACTGGCCGTTGGTACACAATGTGTACTTTTAAATGATGTATTTACTGGTTCACGACCAACAATGGTTATAACGTATATGAAAACACAGGATCGTTACAATGGGTCCAACAAACTTAACCCAAATCTGATTGCATTTCCAAATTTGGAATTTTTTGGTATTAAAATTAACAAAGCGTTTGTACAACCACCTGTATACAACTCTCGAGAGGCATATCTAAACTTACGACGCATTTTAAATCGTTGTTATGACGAAATGCCATTTTCACATTCTGATTACCGGACCAGTTATAGTATAATTGTAACTGATTTATCACCAAATAAGGATAGTTACAATCAGGTTTTACCCAATTCTACCGGTGGTGTGGTAAGTTTAGAGATGAGGCTAAAACAGTCTTTGACAGCACAACACCAAATTATTAATATTAGTGAATTTTGTAATCAACTTAGCGTTGGTTATCAGACTCTGGCACGGTTAAAATACGACTTCTAAAATGTTACATTTTTTAAACAGTTGTATCATTTATGGACAAAATGCCTTGCGAGCGACAGCGTTAAAAAAAGCTGTGTAACATTAAATTTTACAAAACAAAAATAAACGCCGTAAAAGCTCCTTCATGCACCTGGTGTTATGGTCCTGGTGGTGTAGCAGTGCAAACAATTCACATATATCCGGTTGTTTTACAACATGGTTGAGACAGTCAATACAACCAGGGATACGAGTAGTACCAGCGAGATTGTGGATTCAACCAACAATTTGGAGCAGGAAAAGGAAGTACAAGATAATGACGAGAACATTAACGATGATAATGATGATGATGAAAATAAGGACGAAAATTTCAAAGAGGAATTTATGTATTACGAAGACCCGATAGATGATGATCCAAATAATGTTGAACCAAATAATGCGGAGGAAGGGGAATTAGAAATTGACACAAACGACGACGACGATGAAGACAAGACATATATTGACCATGAAACATATCGTGTTTTTTTTACAGCAGCTTTTAGAGGCAAGACGTTTAAGTGTTGCCAAACATAAACAAAATGTGTTTATTCCTTCTACAAAAAAAATTCCTAAACTTAAATTTTGAGGAGCGAACAAAGAGATTAACACCTACTGTAACTAAAAACTTATTATATCTGTGTGAAAATATTGTAAATAATAGAATACCCGTGAAAAATATATCACACGCTGATATGGGTTTAATGCACTACATTCTCGATAGGTCTATGTCAATGAAGGACGTACGGGTTGCATCTATTAGAGGATTGGCGATTACACTTTTATCTTCGCGAAGCGTTGGACGTTGTGGAAGAGAATGGGGGAAAACGTAAGACGACTAACATTAATCGATGCGGAAAAGTATAATAATCTTATGTCGCTTTTAGAACATGCAATGAAACGTCAAAAAATATTAGATGATTCAAAACGAACACAGGCTGAGGCCGAACTTGGAGACAGTCATGCAGATATGTTAAACAGTGTGAAAAATAAATCTTTGGCTGGTGCAAATATTGTGAATTATATGCGTAAAAAAGATAAATATCAGGCAGAGGTTGCAGCAAATGCACTACCTCAACAACCCCAACCCTCAACAGCTTTAGCGGTGGGATCTGGCTTATCATGAAAAAAAATAACAGATCATTTAAAATCGAAAGGTATTGTGGCTACAGCCAAGGGTATAAAGGCTGGTTCAAAAACTTTAAATTTTTCATACGAGGACATGATAAAGGACTTAACACACAACTACAAGCAAACAAACACAAATTTATCGGAAACACAGCATAACAAAGTTCTTGAGATTTAAAAAAAATCTCATATGCCAAATCACTACATACGAAATAAGGAGTTACATCAAAAGTATCAAAACCTTGTTGTTGCTGACACACCACCGATCACGACGACTCCACCACCAAACCCTCACAGAAACCCCACATACCAAACCCTCACAGAAACCCCAAAGGGTCGACCCATACCCAGAAAACTTGGTGAGAAACATGCTTATATGGTGGACGGTTACCTCGACACTTGGACGTAATTGCTACAATCACATGTTTTATCAGCAAATTTTTAAATACCAATGATCTTGATTTTTTGGCGAAAAATGATCGCGTAATTGGACCCTATTATTTGGGTTGCTACCCTGCAGACATAACACCTGCTAACGTTAAAGAAAGATGTTGCAGGATTTGGAACACTGACGAGCAGGACAAACCCGGAACACACTGGGTTGCCATTGTAAGGGATGGTCAAACCGTTATTTTTTTTACAGTTATGGGAAAACAATTCCATTTTTTAAACGCACCTATTGGATAACGTATTTTCGCAAGTTGGTGTCGTGTTACATTGTTTAACAAATTTCAACTACAATCATATATCAGCAGAACATGTGGTGTGTGGTGTTTGTTGTTTTTAAGATCACATTACGCCAATCGAAATATTTTTCAAATATTTACCACAAATATTAAACGTTTAATGCATAACAAATTAAAGTTACAAACAATAGCATACCACATGTTCTGTGATCTTAAAAATATGTATATACAAAAATGTAAAAAGGCAAAAGGTCAAATACGTAAAACGTATTTAGAGACATACGGAGTCACATAATTTTTATAGATAAATAAATTTTTTATTTATTTTCTTCATATTTACATTTTTTTTATTCGTTAAAAATTTTTAAAAAAATCCACATACATATTGCACAATATCTTTATCTATATCATATATTACCGTTTCGTCATCTGGAAATATATTTGTTAGTACGCGTGTATTAGCAAAATTTGTTCGACGCAATCATTTCTGCATCTTTAGAGTCTGTTAGACTTTTAAACATTGTATGATATTGACTATTTACACAGCAATTACATAATTTTCCTGACCCAAAATTTCAATTTTGACATACAAAAATGACAGAGGTGTTTGAGTGGTGACTGTCGCGCGAGGCTATGTTGTTTAAATTTTCAAGATTAGTTTTATTTGAGGCCGAAATTATCATTAAGTTGAACAAAACTAGAAGTGTTGCTTTGGCAAGCTTTGATTTTAATTCCTCCATCGGTGGTATTCCTTTGTTGCAGTCAAGAAACTCGTACGTTTGTAATTTTGATGTAGTGGCGTTGTCACATATGTGTTTTTTGATTTCATTGTAACCATCGATAAGTGTCTGGTTGTGCTTTATTATGTTAATATGTAACATGTTTTTCCACTTTGTGATGGTCCACAAACTGTCATCATAAATGGGTGTTGAAATGGTAATGTACATGTTTTCATTGTATTACTCTATGAAAAAAGAAGGTGGATTAGACAAACACGGTATTCGAACCAGGGAATGAGTCCAAATTTGTCAGTCAGTCTCAGTTGTTGGAAAAAGTGCATGGTTTTACAAACAGTGTCACTGAAATTTTAGGTATGATTGGATACTTCATTTTAACCAAGGACAAAAACCCAGAAAGCATGATTTCAAGAAAAACCAAGAAATCAAATTTAAAGCAATTCACAGAATTTTCTTATTGAAAAAATTTTGGTTACAATTGATAACCGAACCAAGGATTTTTAAGAGCAAAACGTGCACTGTATATATTATTTACTTTGAAACCATGGAAACAGCGAAGGTAAAAAAAAACACTGCGTAAAAAATGACGAAAGTGTTATAAAGTTGACGAGGATTGACGAGGTTGATTGACAGTTTTGACAAAAAAAAAAGAAGCAGGAATGCGCACAGGTCCAAAAGGTGTTGTTCTGCTGGTGAATATGGAACAAGCGATTAAGAAAAAAATGAACAAGGAAAACCACACAGACAGACTATATTCCTAAGGAATGGATGACCGCTAATGCAAAAAAAGAAGGAAAATGAAGAGAAACAACTGAAGAACAAGTTGACCAACAACAACTGTTTAGTTGTCAACTTTCCCATGGATAAGATTTTTTGAGGAAAAGAAGGACGACAAACACTCAAACGAGCATGAATTTCAAAGTTTTGAGATTTTTGAAACCGGAAATGACGTCTTAAATCACAAAGCGAAGCGAGAGAAAAGGAAAAAGCCACTTTTTATATAGAAGATATTATGAATAACATAGTTAAAGAACAGCATGTAACCTTCGATGACCTTGATTTGAAAAATTCATTAAAAAATACCCATATGTAATATTAATTAATATTAATTAAAAAATACCCATATGTAATAAATGGGAATTCGGGATTACATTCGGCTCTATAATTTTGTGAACTCAACATGGGACAAAGTTCGTTTATGAGAAAAAAAGCAACAAGCAACAGAAGTTCTTTACGTTTTTGGAGCGACTTGTTAATGTACCAAAGGAACAGTCAGAACTCAGTTTGTTCGGAAAATTAAACAGATTGAACAAATATTTATTATAGAGGACATCGACACATTGGACAGCGACGGTCCATCTAAAAGAAATATCAAAGACCCAATTTATCCACGGTATTCAGTCAAAGCTCAATGCAACTGGTGTAGTTGATTACTACTCAAAGCATGGTGGCCTTAAAACGTTTTGGGATGGTTATGGGCAACGAACATAAATTAATGAAAAACATAAATAACAATTTCGGTATCATTACAGTTGGCAAACACAAAGAAGGGGAAAGAAACCATTCCAAGGGCAACGATATCGAAACAGACAAAAGCTGTGTCAAAAAAGGTGAAAGAAAAACTGATGAAAGGGGAAAAGTTCCTGCTAGCCAATATACCCGTAGGGTAATGTTGTGTAGTCATCACATACTATACGCTTGTCAAAAGTGAAATGAAATATTTTTACGGCTTCTTGAACATTTATAGTCTGGCTGTTTGCACGCATAAATTCTGTGTAATTAGTATGAATTTTTTTTTATCTACTATACACTTTGTCATAGTTTCAAATGTTATTTTTTTTTCGTATCCCCTTTTAAAGAAAAACCTTTAAGGTGCACAATTTCGTCGCATTGTTTTGTTTTACTACCGTCATCGTTGACACGTGTGTACTCGTTTGTACGGTACAAGTATAACTTTGGACCCGTTGTACAAAATTGTTCAATCCATTTTTCGCTACAGTTCTTTCCGATAACTCATCAGTCATTTCTCCTAAATATTGACCTGTTTCTATGGTATGCCCCTTTTTTATCTTCTACGTATATCACAGAATCTGTATCAAAGTAGAGCATGCTTTCACCAAGTTTGTTTAGTACTTCGAACAACTCTAATTGTGCATATGCTGTGACAAATGATGCAATAATAACATTTCTATTGGAAAGTGGTATCAAAGATGCACCTTTTCTATGTGTTGTTCTAGCAATATTATCGCTAATAAAATCCAACGAGGTCACGTCAATACTACAATCATTTACCATTTCCAACAAGTCATCTAGACTGTCTACAAATGATACCATGCTAGTGTCTTCGTTTTGTGCTAGTTTACCGCACAGGGAATTTAGTAATGCCTTCATGACGGTTCTTTGTCCGGGATGACATATTTGCATCTAATTGTATGTTTTCATGTTGTAAATAATCATTAATATACCTATTTAGTTTTTCATCTATAACATTACCCCACTCATCGAGACAATATTTTGGAATACCACTGCTTTCCTTGCTTAAGTTTCATGAAGGTGTTGACATACGTGTCAAATGTTTTTTGTCTATTGTCATAGTGATATATTTCATACACTATTAATATTATATATCCATGCTGTATTGCCTTCTGTACTTCGACACTGGTCCACGTGGCGTACAATGCTCGCTGTTCATCGTCGTGTTCACAAAATTCACTTAGTTTTTCAACACAGGTTCGACATAAAGGAAATGTTAATTTATCTGTACGATATGGTAAAACGGGAAATAGTATTTTTTTGTAGTAAAATTTTACATTTAATAAGTCCAAAAATATTTTGAATTTCAATATCGCGACAATTGGTTACACCACGAATAATTTGAGGGTGTTGTAAAGGATGCACATATTTTTTTTGAACAAAGGGATAGAGGGAAGTAAAGTCACTATAACACGCTATTTTTGTCAGTGATTCGTGGTATAGAATAGCAGGCGATGTTCTCCCACCAAAAAGTGCATCACATGGATTTAAATTTATGTTAATAAAAAAATCGCACTGATGCAATGTTTTTTGTAAAGACTGGGTTATTTTGTTTTCGTGTATAAAATCACATTCCCACTTTTCTATAACCTTATATCCATGTGTTTCAAGTAGACGTGTTGTACGTCTTGTCCACTCCCTAAGAGTGTAAAATGTTTTGTTAACAATGGGGTTATTTGTGTCTTCATTGTAACACTTGGGACAACCGTGAAAAAAACACCCATGAAATTGATCAGCCTAGACCTAGGCCTTCTATTCTTATTGATATTTTTTTAATATTCAGCGCTTTTTCACATGAAAAGACTGGGACTAGGTGATTTGGGGGCGGGCGGAGGAAGGATACAAGCCTGACGCAAGCGAAAATATAGAAGGCCTAGTGGATTTCCCAACAACAAGGGCAAAACTGCCCTGAAACTGCCCTGATTGCGAAATGCCCAATTGTTGCGTTCTCAAACAGAATTATTTGCGACTTAACAGTGAATTTAAACCGATACAGGTAAAATAAACTCATTTATAGTATAACTTACTATTTTTATTTGTATACACGTCTAGAAAATCGGGGTTTCTATCATAAAGTTTGAAGCAACACTATTATTATGTTGACAAGGTGAAGCGAAAGCACAAAATAATAGTTCTTTTATTCGCAAGACAATCTACTGTTTTGCTTTGAATAACTATATTTGGGAATGAGGAATTTGAAATTATTGTTGAAATATTACGGACATACCATTTGTAAACAATGTACGTTTTTGTATACAGTACTGTACGGGCTAATAATATATGTATCCGTTTTATTTAATAAATTATAATTGTATATGTGTTTGTATATTTTACAAACACAAGACTGCTTCTTGCCAAAATTGAGAAAACATATATTAATGTAGTTGTGTATAAGACAAAATTTCATGAAAGATTCTACTTTTGGTATATATTTTGACTCATTTTGTGCTTTCGCTACACCTTGTCAAGTAAATGTCAACATATTAAATAATAGTGTTGCTTTGAACTTTATGATAAAAACCCCGATTTTCTAGACGTGTATACAAATAAAAATAGTAAGTTTATACTATAAATGAGTTTATTTTACCTGTATCGGTTTAAATTCGCCGTTAAGTTGCAAGTAATTCTGTTTGAGAACGCAATAATTGGGCATTTCGCAACCAGGGCAGTTTCAGGGCAGTTTTGGCCATGTTGTTGGGAAATCAACTAGGCCTTCTAGGCTTGGTTCCTCCGCCCCGCCCCCAAATCACCTAGTCCCAGTCTTTTCATGTGAAAAAGCGCTGAATATGAAAAAATATAAATAAGACTAGAAGGCCTAGGTCTAGGCTGGAAATTGATATATTGTGTGGTTTTCCTCACAATACCCGTCTACATGTTTAGTAAATATGTGTTGTTCACCGTCAATGGAAAGTTTACTACGTAAAAACATGTTATCTTCCTCTAGCTCTTCGGCGATACTTTTTAGCCAATAGAGAGCTATTGTGCTTTGCTTTACATTACCGCCATACCCTTCGGCAGGGATTTGACCAATTATATCCTTGTTTAAGAAATTGCTGCGATATATCTTTAATGCTAGACCGGCAATCGTATGACACGTTTTGTCGTAAAATGGAAAAACACCCGTAATATTTTTAATTTGTTCAGCATTTGTATGTATTTTACATATTTTCATGAAACATTGATGTTTTTTTTAAAAAATTGCATTGCAATGTGTGCAGTATGCTTTGTTGCATTTATGCTTGGTTGTTTTTTTCCTGGAAATGGGTGTCATTTGTGGCACTTTTTTATAGCATGCGACACAAAAAAACATATGGTCACATGGTGTTTCTAGAGATGTAAAAACGTGCTTTATCGGTATCTGAAGCCACTATATATTTCATGATGTTAATTAAATAACTAAATACTTGACGTAAATTTTCTAGAAACTCTGCCAGTGTAATAGGATTATTTGGACCAATTGACACATTGTATATATACTTGTTATACCCTAGCCTTCTGGGAGTGTTTGTTCTTTTAACACTGAACACATTGTTAGAAATACTTCGCTTATTGTTTTTTTCTACTAATCTTACAATTTCACCAATGTCTTCGTCTTCAATGTTAAAATTGTGCTGCCTATTTGCAGTTCGCAAGTTATTTCTTTGATTAATATTGTCACGAGCCATTTGTGCTATTTCGCGTATATTGTTTTCTGTAATATCTAAAGTATTACGACCAATCAGGTTATTTTTTTACCATACGTACTATTTCGTAGAGATCCCTGTCTTCTATATCAGTTTGTGCATGTTTTCGTTTTCCATTGTTACCATTGTCTCCGTCTTGCTTTCTTTTCAACGAAGCCATTGTATACAACAAAATTTTCTAATTTCGTATTCTTGATCTTCTTCTTCTTGATCTCTTTCTCCATCCTTGAGGTCAATTCCAACCCCGGAACTTCTATTTACAAAAATACATTTCATTGTCATGATAGGTGTATCTTTACTACCCAAACACGCAGTCATGTTCTGGCCCATTCTGTAGTAAGTCATACGCCGTGTAAGGTCAAGAAAAAAATGGGGGATACAGTTGTACACATAACTATATATGTGCTAAATGAGAAGGCAAAATCAGAGCGTGAAAAGTACAAAGAAGGCTACTGTGTTGATGATAATGACAAATCTATACTATTCTCACCTATTATTTTTCCTGAGTGTGTTGGCGACTGGGCTGTCAGGGATGAAACTATAATAGAGGTTCTTTCAAACCTGCTATGCAGTAGACTCGAGGATTTCACCCAAACATTTTGTGTTCTGCCGGATGTTGTGGCTAAAGTAAATGCAATAATAAAATACATAGAAAATCATCTAGACATTTACGGAGGTGTTGGTGTTGTATATAATGAGTGTCCCTAATAAACAAAGGTGACGGCAAAGATTTCTTCGTAATTTCTTGGATCGATTTGTGGATCAACCCTGTGACTTTCAAAATATACGTAAATCAAAACAATGCGTATCAAGTACTTTGCATAATAAGAGATGTCGTAAACACACCGCACATACGGAAAAATGTTGGATTCATCTGGCCAAACATGATAATTTGCGTATTAAACCCTAAAATGTAATTGGTGGTGGAAAAGGTTTGTTTAGTTGGAAAAAACAATACCCCACGGAAGTATAATCTCTAAATATACGGGACGAAAGCAGACAAAAGCTGAAATTGATCGAAAATATGGGGACTGTCTTGCTAAGTACGCATTGCGTAATCAACAGGGTTATGTGTTGACACCAATCATACCACCGATGCTGTGGCAAGGTTTGCCAACGATAGTCGAGGCACGCCTTTTCGAAACAACGCACAAATTAAAGGTCAAAATATGTTTCGTTTGAAAGCTGTTAGTAAAATTCCACCACATCGCGAAATTTTTACATCCTATGGTCACGAGTATTGGAGTGGTTAAAACCTTTTTAAAACCTTGAAATTTCATCCTACATTCATTTAGAAGTTCGCTTTCAAACGTTACATTACATTACTTGGTCATGGAGTTTTTTTATAAAATGAAAAGACAAAAAGGTGGTTATAACCCTTTCAAGCACTTTCCGAGGGGTAAAGAACTTCGACCTTATCAATACCAGTCTGGTGGTAACGTTAATGACGATGCAAAAATCTCAACTATGGGCAAAAACGAAATCAAAACAAAAACGTAAACTACAAAAATGTGTAAGAAAAAGTGGGCGACAGGTGAAACAGTTAGGGCAGAGCATGGGAAACGTTTGGTTTGGCAACAACACTCCAACAAAGAATCAGCGCGGTGGCAATATACATGCTGGAAAAAAAATAAACAACATACCAATAGTGTACCAGTATCATCAATAGAAAATGTAATACTAAAAAATGTAATATTAAAATAACTTTCTTACCGTTACACGTATGTCTCTTTTCTTTTTCGTAGTTCTTTAGTTTCAAAAATGACGTGTTATTATCACCGATGCGTTTAAATTTCAATCACAAGAGTCAGCTCATACCCAATTATATATGTATGCATAAACAATAAATAATTATTAATTCAATAGCTAATACCCATATAAGGGTATTTCTTTAAATTTCGCATGTTTGAAAATAAAAAGATATAATTTTGACATTTTTTTTTAAATAAAACATTTACAAATTTTAAAATTTTGTTGCATGCCATAAAAGGTAGTCCGTCTCGTTCATGATCCACAAACTAAATGTCAATTCAAATCCTTTTATATCATGTCTTCGGCAAGTCGTCGTAATGCATCCTGAAACTCACATATTTGCTTACCCCCAGCTAAATGTTCATAAAATTTATCGTCTTTATGGGATTTATAATTCTTTAACATGATTAAATAGGGTCTCATGATTCTTTCAATTGTAGTTTTTCTTCCTCCAAAAGAGAAGTCACCAAATTCATGAGTTTGTTGTGATGTTACATCGTGATGAATTCCCAATAAATAAATGCATAAATGCAACAATACCATCAGTTGTTTAACGCATCGTAACACGTCTAAACCAATGTTATCATTAGCAAATGACTCGTACAATATTGTCTTTGATACTCGTTTTACAAATTGAACAATACCCACAGTTTTATTCCTTAGACAAAACTTTAAACAAATATTTATTATACAAATATTTATTATACAATTCACGCAAATTATATAAAACCATTTTTTAAAAATGATCTTCCAGAAATTTTTTCACTATATCATTACAAACATTAATTTCTTTATCTTCGCCCACGAGTGCATTATATGCAGATTCTCTTAATCTATCAGAGTCAGCTTCTAACACATATCTAAAACAAGGTACACCCGAGGGATTTATTTGATTGCTACTATGACTTGGATAAATAGCCTTATATGGTGAACACCTGTCAATACATTCGTCTAACAATTCTAAAAATCTATGTAAATACATATTACATACTTTACAAACTAATATATGCTGTAAAATTTGTTTCAAAATTTTCCCTTGTGTGCAACTGGAACTGAAACTATAGCTACGGTTTTATCCCCACCCTCCCCTGCTTCAACCAGTCAAGAATTATGACTTCTTTATCTAATTCTGGTTTTAACCAATGCAATTCTCTGCATGTTGAATACAGTCGCCATAGTATGGGGTGATAATAAAAGGTGTTTAGCAACGCTTTAAATGCTTCTAAAGCTAACTCAACACCCTCCTTGCCAGGGTTTCTTTTCTCGTAACTCTCGGGGTATATGTTATTCATTTTTTCAATTCATTGACGTAGTAACTAAACATTTGAACTTCATGTCCAGAACAATGATACACACCTTTATGTATATGATACCCGCAATCCTGCTGTGCAATACCATATTTGTCTATTAACGTTGCGTATTTTGGACAACCCAACACTTCAAGATTTATCGCTTTGTTCAAGATTTATCGCATGTCTCGCTCAATTGTCCCACCCTTGTAACCCACCAATCCTGCATTTTGAAACGCGTTGGACAATAAACACATGACCTCATCGTATAAAAAAAAATCATCAGTGATACGATACCTAACAACAGGCAAACCGTGAATTTTCCTTATTTGGTATTTAACGCTATGATCGTGTTCATCAAACAATCGAGGGTCGGGTGTGTAAATATGATATGTGTACATCCTATGTCTTTTACAATGTCCCACATGGACACCTTGTGTAAAAAACTTTTTTTCCGATACCCATACGCTTCACAATCTATAATGTGTGTTATATCGGCAGCAATTTCACTTTGACGCTGAACAATTAAACTCTGTTCCCATTCAGTTAATTGGTTGTGTTGTCTTTGAAATAGTGCATCCATCTGTAAAGATGTCATACTGTATAAAAAACCAAACCACATACTGCAACTCTTTAAACGAAGTATCCAATAACTTTATTACATTTACAATACGTTTCTCTATTAAAACATTTACAATGCTTATCAATATAATCCATATTATCAATCATTCTTACATAATGCAATATAAAATCAACTAAAAAAGACAGAAATATCAATACACTATAATAAAACTCTGCTTTATCAACAAGTAAATTAATAAATTCTACACTATAATTTCTATCACATCTGTTCGTCATTCGATTATCCTCAATTGCGTCAAATATTAATTTAAAAATAAATTTAATCCAATGGCTATAAACCGTGTGTACATTCATTCGTGTCTCGTGTATACACAATTCAGTATAATTAACACGATACCCCATTGTATTAAAATAGACCCCTCTCTCATCAATGGAAGGCAAATACTTTAAAGTTAACTGTATGGTAGAGTGCATCTTGTGGCTTGTTATGTGTTTAAATGTAAAATCATAATAAACTATCCCGTTATTCGTATCTACGTAAACATTGTGTCTATATAACCAGTATTTAATACTAAATATTTTATTGTGGATAAAGACGTTCATACAGTACAATCCATTATTATAACCGTAACCCCCATTTGCAAATGTATCTAAAACATTATATAGTTTTTTCGCCTCGTTATCAGTTGGTTTCGAAAAACACTTCATCGCTACACAAACGTCTGGCGTCGGGATATCGTTGTTTTATTTCTAAACAAAGGTTGAAACATCGACATAAATTCTTGTTCTCTACACAATTACAGTTTTGTAACATGTACTCTCTTGTCTGTCTTCGTAGATAAGTACAATACTTTAAAATAGGAGTCAGACGGTATGAAAACAAAGTCTCGTATCTCTGTAAACAATAGCCTGCGAACAGGCCCTGGGTTACGGGCGGCGCGAAGAATAGAGGGCCTGCACGGAACTATAGGTTTTCTTGGTAGTGGCGTTCGTATAGAAACGCAGGCTTCTGATTGGCTTACACTCGTTGACAAAAATACTAAAAATAGCTAATGTCAACAACCGCATTTTGAAGAATTTGAACTTTATTCATTTTAATATTATATATCTATATAAAGACTATCGAACAAATAAAACTAGAAATGGAAACCAAAAGCAATAGCAAAGCATCACAGCAAAAAAGTCTATCATAAATGACTTGAATCTATCGCTTAAATCCAATATACGAAACTATAACAGTATTCTGAACTTCGTCTTCGGATTGACATCAGACTATAGTATAGTACATTTTGAGGTCGTTGTGGCTTCACGGATTATTCTCATTAGTGAGCAAGTCAGCAAGCGAAGGCATACAAAAGATACCCAAATATGTACGAATAATTATATTGTTGATCCTCGCTGGCATGTCATTTAGATAAATATATATCGTACATTAAACGTTGTACAATTTTATACTGTATAAACTGCTGACAATTTCGTCGTCGATATGGCTTCCACTATTGGCACACTCTGATTTCGAAGAAATTAATAAATACATGCTCATTTATCATTTATTTAGACCACAGTTAGTAAAATTTTAGACGTATTCGGTATTCCAAATCCCAATCTATCTGACCGTATTTTAGTATAATAGCTTCAAATATTCAGAACATTGTTCTTTCAGTCGCACATAGTACAAGTATTACTGTACATTCAATGCCAATGGTAGTATTTTATTCGGCTTTATATTTGTATGTGTATTGATATCTATTTAATATTTGAAGAATTCTATATTTTTCCGAGTAATATTTTGTGCGGCCCGCTAATGCTTTGTATTATTGTTCATATATACATTATATATACATTTTAATATTCAGTATTTCTTCGTTGCACAATGTACACGCCTTGCGTCAATTTTACAGTTGACAGTTTATTTATCGCAGTCGACGCTGATTGGTTAGCGTTTAGCAGATGCGAAAAGGGGATGATTGAATAAAACGCATGGTTCCGTGCAGGCTCACCTTTCTCCCAGTGAGCCTGTTTGCAGGCTATGTAAACAACTATCAATTATCCTGTGTTCAGTTGTAAAACACTTGTCTGCAACAG